CATCAAGTAGAGAATGAGCACACGATTACACTAGACTGCATGGTATGCCCACCATCTGTATCGCAGTCATCTATCTAGTGTGAGATGGACAGTTTCGCTTGGCCGACTGATGCAGTTTTGCAAGCACAAGCAGTACTTGCTAGAGTAAGCATTTCACAGTCTGGCACCTATGCATGTGCAGATGCAAATGCTCATTAGTGATGATGGCTGGCGGTACATCATAAAAATATATTCAAAGCTGAGAGAAACACAGCATCAGTTAACAGTCCTGATGGAGACTGTGAAACACTCATAGAGGGCATGCCATAATAAGAGAGCACTGAAAAGTCCGTAATTAATGTTGGACACAAGAGAGCTGGCAAGGGTTGCAAATGTACTGTGAAGCATGCTGGGTGGGGGTCAGCACATGCAAGACATTCCTGGGGTGGCTGTCACTGTAGACTCTGCATAACTAACCCTAAGTGCTCAGCATCCTTGAGACTTTTGAAGGGGGTGGCATCCATGCTGGAACACTATTAGTCAAGAACTGGCAGTGAGATAGAAAGCAGGGACATGGGCAGCTCAAGTGTCCAGCAGCTTGGCCCACCTAATGCAGCACCAGACATATCCTGCATTGTTGAGTCTCCTCTTGAAGTGAAGAGGATTGGGCACAGAACACATCACTGTTTGGGCGAATTGAGCAGTATCCAGCAACGAGCCCAGTGTCATCCAATTTTTATCCTTAGCTATCTACCTTGAACAAGTAAGGTTCCAGAAAGAAATGACATCACTGGAAAAAAAGCAGTTGCATGAGAGGCAAAGTACTTGCCCAGCGCAAAGATCAGGCAATGTCCAGCAGTGACCATTAGGCTCTTAAGATGTCTCTGAATTTCTGCTGAAAGGAAGGTTCAGGATAGATCACCATCATTGGATTACTGGCAATATAGCAATATAGTGTGACTCGAGGCTCAATGGCATTGAGCAGGAATTCAGTTCTCATTTTGGCTAATGCTGGGCATGATTATGATCATTGAGTCTTCATTCTGAATGTGAGAGAGTCAGTAACATGGTGATGCATGAGCTGGAACATTCACATGGAGACCACTGTCCAGGATGATGCATTCACCTTCAATAGCTGCACTGCTCACTAAGGCACCCTAATACCCAAAATTCTAAGCCTTATCCAGTGATTAAGTCAGTTAAACAAATTCAGAGCATGTGCAAAGGCCACCTGAGGGAGACAGCATCACTTAGGACTGTTGCGCTCGATGGTTAGTTGCAGTAATGTCAGTTAATAAAGATAATCTTGATGGTTGGTTACAGTAATGTCAGTTAATAAAGATAATTGTTTCAACTAATAAGCAGTAATTTAGATAAGAATTGTGTCTAATAAGCAGAGATAAGAATTGTGTCTAAGAAGCAAAGATAATCCTTTAGATCATCCTGAGATAATTTGAAAGATCATCTGAAAATTATCCGAAGATGATCTGAAAATTATCTACAAAATACAACTTAGAAATTGCCACCAGTCAGGATTAAACTCTCAACCTCATGGTAAATCACATGATATGTTTTCAACTCATGCTTTAAACCACTAGACCATTGGGTCTTGCAAGTAGTAAACCTTATATATAATATGTAGCCTTTTTTTAAAAAGTGACTTAGTCAAGTTCTGGCTTTCAAAAGACAGTAAGTGGAAAACTCTAAAGTTGACTATAGACAAAGGTGGTTTTAAAGCTTGTAGCATTTATATAATGTCTTGTAATCTCAGATCAGATTACAATAGTCTATAACAAGATGTAAGTATCCTTGCTCTAGTAGGTATGTTATAAATTATAAACATTCACTACCTATCTCAATACTGATTCACTGTTTAATAGACTTATATGAGCTATTGTAATACAGAATTAACAGCCAGCTTCTTATAACTTAGCCTTCATTCTTTAGTTATATGTTAACTTATTTTGCTAAGAAACTAGAAAATTTTTAGCTAAACTGTATCAACAGCATGCTGTAATGACTCTTTAAGTTATTACATGAATGCTACAAGTTTTAAAACCATCTTTATTTACACCTTCAGGGTATCCTTTATCCCTAGCTCTCAGCAACAAGATCTTCAATAGTATGTCATAGCTAAAAGCTTCTTAAGTGTCAGACTGACCATAATACCTATTATGTCCCAGGGCATTCTGTGGGATTGCCCAGGGCATAGATAGAATATAGGCTGGGCATATGGGATGATTATTATGTGGGATATCCTACTAGGCTAGGACATTATTTATTTATTCCAGTATTACTGGTTGTCCTATGGTGTCAGAGAGATATAAGGATGTCTCACTGTTAGCAAAAAATATATTTTTAGGCTGTTGTATATGTGTTGTTTCATCTTTTCATCTACTGCCATACTGTATAAACCTTAATTACATAGTATAGTAAACCAGTGCTTTATTGATACTTCAAATAAGATGGGAGATCCACAAATAGCGGGATATCCCAATTCACCTGCAGTGTTATAATACTAATTACTATTAGTGGTATGTATAACATGTTCATTAGATCAAATAACAACTGTAACAGGCCAAATAATAGTTCTTATTCTCGTGTTCCAAAAGTAATTATACCTTTTCTGATGCAAAGTTCAAATTGATGTGATGTCACCTTTAGTATATTACATCTAACATGAATATTCTATAACTTTTATTAATAACCAGAAGAAACACAGTAACTCAGTCTACTTCTACACTAGCAAATAAGAGACACTTTAGTCAAGTCTGCTACTATAGAATATACCTGAACAAAGCAAGGAAGACATTTGACCTAAGATTGCAGTAAAGTTGCATTCACAAACACATTCACGCAATGACTTCTTATACTCTGGGACATTATGCTATAGGATGGGATATCCCATCTAAGGACCTGTTACTCTTCAATCTTAATAATACAATGACTAGTATAGGTCTTTAGATAATTATAGTAGTCTAACAGATATATTCAGATAAATGATAGCCTGAATAGCTGTCAGCATACAAATAAATCATATTTTAGGATGTCCTTAAAATGAGATGTCCTTAAAATGTGATGTCCTTAAAATGAGATATCCTTAAAATGGAATGTCTCATTTTTATATAAAGTGTTAATAAAGCACTGATTTACTGTACTATGTAATTACAGCTTATATAGTATGGCAGTAGATGAAAAGATGAAACAACAAATATACAACAGTCTAAAATACATCCTCTGCTAACAGTGGAACATTCTTATATACTCCTGACACCATGAGACAACCAGTAATACTGGGATAAACAATTAATGTCCTAGCCTAGTAGGATATCCCATATAATAATCATCCCATATGCCCAGCCTATACCCTATCTATGCCCTGAGCAATCCCACAGAATGCCCCGAGACATAATAGATACAATGGTTAGTCTGACACTTAAGAAGCTCTTAGCTATGACATACTATGAAGATCTTGTTGCTGAGAGCTAGAGATAAAGGGTATCTAAGTGATTAATGTCCATCGCAGCTGTGCCCTCATCTTCCAGAGGCAAGATGTCTACATTGACATCTATGATGCTGACATCGACAACCTCGCCCATAACATCTTACAGTGTTCTCCTCCTCATGCTCATCCTAATCTGGAAATGGTCAATAAAAAGAGTAAGTCTCATAAAATATATATCACATGATCTCCTAAAACGTGCAAGCTGGGATAAAAGAGTGAGAATACTGTAGCATCAGGAAAATCCAACTTTTGCTTATAACACTTACTCCGACTTTTTGTCCTTTTTGCTTTATTTAACGCCCATAAGTTCCTAAAAGTCCACTTTTAAGCCTCTAAGAAAACATGGCTTATGGACTTTTTGTCCTTTTTTGTCTGATTTAAGGCTCATAAGTGCATTTAAGTCACATAGGAACACCTCTAAGTAAATAGGTTTTGCTGATGTAATAATGGATAGTTTTAGGATCCTGGGTTGAACACTGCCTAGCAGAGGCCACTGCCAAGTGGTATGAGCATCAAGATGAAGTGGTGTACCATAAGGGGAAGGGGAGATGTTAAGAATGGCAAGTGAGCACTTCACTTTCTGACCTCAAATATTTGTTAGACCTAATGTAAGGAGTTGGAATGGAAGAATATATTAAACCACATTAACCCTGTACATGCATGTATAATGGAGAAGATTCATGAGAATTGGCTGACTGTAGGCTAATTTATCCGAAAACTAGTGAATTGGCTAAGTTGAGAGTCAAAGAAATTTGCATGGCTCCGGTATGCTTATACCACTAAGCAGAGTCCAACGTCTTCTTTTTAACCATCCTGAGCAGCTTACTTTCTCCCTATACCTATTAAATCAAGTGCCTCCTTCCCTCTTCATTTCCTTTCTCTTCTGCAGTGCACACCTTGGAACATAAGTACTTCAAGTTTTCTCCCACGTTCCCTCTGTCACTCTGTACAAGTACAATGAATGACCTTGCCTACCTTGGATTGCCATACTTTTCATTTTCTGTGCCCGCTAGTTTCTCTTAAATGCTCTTTCATGGACTCTCATTGATACCTAGTGACACTCACTGGTTGGTCTGGTGAATCTGCAAGCTTCTGAATTGTTTGAGTCAGTTATAAGCTCTTAAAGTGCCACCACTCATTCCTTCCTCATGAATTATAACAACTGTCTATCTCCTCAGAAATCATAAATATGCCCAATTCCTGCATATGGGGAAATCACAAAATGATTCACTTGTATAGTGTGAAAAGTGACAAAAAGAATACAACTACTGATTCTTGAATTTGACTATGGAGATTTCCGATTGGTATGTTCCACACTTTTCCCTATCACTTGAGCAACATTCTGCGTGACTTGAATCCCCCGCCATGGGTATACAGTCACAAAATACTGCACCGCAATGTGGGAGTCCAAGGAGATCCCAAACCTGCGTGGAAGCATACTTGCGCTACTATCAGACATGCCAGTAAATTGACGAGTAAACGAGAGAATGGGTAACAGAGTGCCAAATACAATAGATCAGCGGAAAGTATTCCAAATTGAAAGTAAACACACCTTTGCAATGGCTCTTCGTGTAGCACTGTAGCGTTGTCCTAAGTTGTGCGTGCGAAACTCCATACGCAGATCATCGCTGCTTGACTTCTGCTGCTCATTTACATCAAGCAGAGGCAGAGGCGGATCGGAGGTCGGCGGAGATGGTAGAATCGCTCGAGAGACCATGTGAGGGAAAGATTTATGACGCGGTGAACGACGGGCAGAAGTGGATTTCTGAGCAGGGGAATGCTTGGGAAAGTGATCCGCAACGCAGTCGGTGTCTGTCCAGGAGCATCAATGGGAAGGGTATGAACTAGAACTCATGGTACGAACCGGAACTCATGCAGTCAAGCTTCCTTCCAGACCTCTTGAACATCAATTCGCAAGATCCAGAAGCTGCCGATATCCCTCGAGTGCACGCCTCGTCACTCTCATCGTCACTTACAATGATTTTGCAAGCGGCGTGACGCTCTTCAGGTGGCGGAGGACGGTAGGTAACGATCCGTAATTTCTGTCTGGTGGGAATTGCATCGCGTGAGGGCAAAAGCGAAGGCGGCAACCTGAACCGGCCGGAGCTGCGCACAGATTTGCGAGCATCACCGATCCTCGAGGGTTCATTGCGCGGTCGCTTCGTCGAAGATAATGTACTCCAGCCAGAGTCGGGGGTTGTAGGAAAGGCAGTGTAAGCATCACGCTTGGCATTATGGAGACGTTTGGTAGCACGAGGGGAATGATCAGAGATACTTGTGTGCATGCTTGAGATAACTGAAGATGGACCTGTGGGGTAGAGACGTTGAGCGGGTAGTGGAATCGCCGATGGCGGGGCACGCCGAGCAGGAGTTAGGTGATCAACAGTGCGCGTATTTGCATCAAGTGAGACTGTCGATGTGATAGCAAGCATACTACGAGGTTCAATGAGGGCCGGTGAATCTACGTGGAGTGGAGATGGCTGGTCGGAGTAGTGGAGTAGACGAGTGTTTGTGGGTGATATTCGAGATGTAGGTCGGTTACGCAAGGGCGATCGAGTACCGTTGCGCCCAACCGAGCTCTGTTGACCGAGTATACTAGACTTGGTGTCCGGAAAAGTCGCAGGGACAACACTGCGAGGTAGAGCAGTAGATTCGGTATCTTCGGCCTTTAGCACAAACGATGAGGGGCGAGTAACTGTCTGATGAGGGGAATACAGGAGTTGTGGTGAAACACCAGGACGAAGAAAACGAGCGTAGCACGAAGTCTGCGATGAAACTGAAGTTTTTATCTCTTCAGGCGTAAGGCCAAGTCGTGAAGTAGAAGCTATCTCTTCAATCTTGCATGTAGGATTTTTCGTAACAGATACAGAGTCGGACAAGATAGGATGTGACGCTGCATGAAGATTACAACCAAGTAGGCATTGGGCAAGCGTGTATAGGACCTACGTGTTTGCGGGATACTCGTCAGATGAGAGAAAACCTCCTCTTCCGTCACAGTGCGGACGAAGGATTGAGTGCCCACAGACGCATCAAGGCAATCAGGGAACCGGTGGCTGTTCGACGGAACATTACTTGAAGGAGTGTGAGCCCCAGATATCGGAATATTCTTGCGTGCGGAAACGGATGGAGCAGACGAACGGAACATAGACACAGGAGTTACAGGAGCCAAAGAACGGGTCATTGTATGCGGTGTTTGGGGAACCATAGAAGAAGCATCTTGCGTGTACAGAACAGAAGAGCGCAAAACGATGGGCTGATCAGACTGGTTGAAACGAGTATCGGTGAAAGTCGAGGATCGAAGGGTAGGCACTGCACTGCAAGCAGATAGCTGGGATGCGACATTTCGATGACGAGCAGACGAGGGAGGGAGACGATCCGACAAGGAAGTTGATGGCGGAGAAGCGACTGCAGGTTGAAAGACCTCGCCAGGTGGTAGAGTTCTCGGAATAGCGAGTTGCTGAGCGTGCTGCGATGGTACATTCGTACGCCTGGCGCATTGCTTCTCGAAAGCTTCGACTATCTTCCCGCGTGGTTTCTTCTTTGCGAGCGGGGCTCGAGAACAGGTAGCAGCGGAGAAGTCGACAGGATGGTGCTTGCGAGACGTGGCATTGACTTTGGCAATAGTCCAGGGATTCGGCTTGTAAGCAGCAGAGTCTGTACGAGAGGAAAGGTCGATATCTCGAAGCAGCTGAGCATCATCAGAGACAGTTGAGGATTGATCATGAGGTGAGCGGTGAGCGACAGCAGATAGATTAGTAGACGCAACGGTGCCATCGCCATCATTGTCCGAGTCAGAACCAGAAGAGAAATCATAAGCGCGAAGATTGAAAGACCAGCCTTGGTGAGAGGACGGCATGGACAGCGCTGACGTGATGGACGAGGGTGGTCAAGAGCTGGTCAAGAGCTACCAAAGACGCGACGTGATGCACACGGGTGGTGTGCACGACTTTTCCTTTATCCGTACTCCTGCTTGTGCTTGACTTGAACTGGCGACGACACCGACGTCGACGTAGGCAGAAGTGTTCCCTCCTACACAGCGTGTCTCAATTTCGCGCTATCCAGGCATACGGTACATACAGGACAGAACGGTCACGGTACTCGCGTTTACGCCGCGTTACGTAATCACGTAATTACGCACCTCAGTCACTCGAAGTTTGCTGTCGCACCGAGACTTACATAGGTGATTACCTTCTTTTCACCTAGTTTTATTTCTTTACTGACATACAGTAGCATACCGCTCTTTGTCTCTCTTCTAGGTTGGTACTGATACAGTCACTGGTTTGCTATCGCACCGAGACTGAGCATACCGCTTCTTATCTCTGTTCTAGATTGATCTCGTCCGACATCCGTTGGACGCCTTTCCCCCCTCTCCGCGTACTCGCGATAGAACTAGCAAGTACTACGAATTGCACGGTGGACGTCAGGTGCGACGCGTCAAACGCGGCCACGTGGCTCGCCTAGAATATACTGGAACTACCACCTCCAAGCTGACCGAGACAAGACATCGACATTCTCATCCACCACCATCATGTCTGCGTCGACTCAAGGGCTGCCGCTCCTGAGCGGGCCCCCGCCAGAATACAGCATCAACGAAACATCGTGCCGGAAGTGCGACAAGGAATTCAATGTCCTTTTCACCCGGGCGAGGAAGTGCAATCATTGTGGTCAGATCTACCCGCGAGTGCTCTCCATGAGGTGGCGCTGAATACCCCTTGACTGCACAGGATACTCGTACTGCCATTCTTGCACGGATTACCAGGCGCTCATGCCGCGCAGCGGACAGGCGTCGGGTTACGACGTTGTGCCGATCTGCGCCTTTTGTGTCGAGAACCTGACGAGTGAGCACTGGGGTTGCGATGCGAACGTTCAGATGTGCTGAATGATGCAAGCGATCAGTCACCGCTGCGGGTAAGGGCCGTCTCAAACAGCTCCCCCTGTCGAAGCTGCGCAAGTACGCCGCGGCGTATGGTATCAAGGTCAACGGGGTGGTCGAGAAGGATGACTTCATCGACACGCTTATGGCAGCAAGGGTGAGCACTCTCCGTCTCATCACTGTCCCCAGGTACGAATCTCAGCACGCGCTTTCAGCTACCGAACGGATGCTTGCCCCCATTTAATGAGGTCAGTGGCATGCCTTTGTCCGCTTCGCACCTCACCCACACGCAATCATCCAGGAACTGTACCGTAAGTACGCAGTGCCGAACCGCAGGACGGAGCGGCCGCGCGGGATCTTCACGCGGGCGATGGACGCGATGAACCCGGAGCGCGGCTCGTCGACACAGCCGCCGCCGCCACCGCCACCTCAACAACGACAAAGACCATCCTACCAACCTCGCCAGCGCACGACGTCCGGTCCCAGCACGTTCCCGCGGCCGGACCTGGACCCTCGCCTCCGGCCGCATCCTCAGCAGTATGCTCCTCGAGGACAAGCTCGTTCCCAATACCCGCACGCGCGCGCCTCGCCGCGCCCGAATGTGAATGTGACGAGCAACAACAACAGTCAGAGCCGTGGGCGCGCGGCGTCTGCGGGAGCGCGGACGGTGCCACACACGACGACGTCGCCGGCCCCGCCGGTTCCGACGCTTGACGAGCTGCTGGAGATGCCGGTGGAGCGGGTGGCGGGGCTGTCGATCGGGACGCTGAAGGCGGTGCTGTTCCAGAACCATGTGAACGCACGGCTGGTGGTGGAGAAGGCGGAACTGGTCGCGAAGGTGTGCGCGCTGGTCGAGGACGAGCGGGAGGAGCGGGCGAGAAAGGCGGCGGAGGAGGAGGCGGAGGAGGAGGAGGTGCGTCGGCAGGCGGCGGCGGTGCAGGAGACGGTGGTGGGGGACAGTGAGGACGAAGACGAGGTGCTGAGCCGGGTGCTGGAGGAGAGCCGGCGGATGGCGGAGGAGCATGAGTGGGCGCAGGCCGAGCACGAGGAGCAGATGCAGGCTGACCCTGATGCTATGGAGGTGGATGAGGATGAGCCTCGGGAGGACGAGGACGAACACGATGCAGGGGTTCATGCAACGGCCGCTTCTGCACCTGTGACACCGCCGGGAGCGTCTTCCGATGCACCACAGACACACGCGATGCCCGCAACCTCCCCATCGACACCACAAGGCGCACATGCCGCTGCTCCGCATACGCGGCTGTCCCCAGCCCCTCAGGCGATGGCGGCTCGCCTGGAACGTACGGGGATGTGTGTCATCTGCCAAGATGAGGAGGCGAATATTGCGATCGTGGATTGCGGGTGCGTTATTTAATTTATCGCATATAGGTTTGGGATCATCTGACGGCTGTATGCGTTCTGCGACAGACATATGGCGATGTGCCGTGCGTGCTCGGACCTCATCATGCAGAGCACACGCGAATGCCCGCTCTGCCGCACGCGCATTGTTACGGAGTCGCGGCTACTGAGGATATTCAAGACTTGAGCGTGTGTCGAAGCAGTGGAATGCTCGTGAAATCCAGGTATTTATCGTTCCCTCGTACCAGATCAAACATACAACTTGTTGTACAGTACACTATTACTGATATACCTTGCGCCACGGTGTCTACGACCAGTAGCTAATTAGCTGCCAGGCTGCGCGCGGTCTACACGGCTTAGACCACAAACATTCGTCAACGACTTCAAGTAATTAGGCCACATCAATGTTTGTTTCCCAATGCCTGAAGGAGGCCCGTGAGGACTCAGTGATATCTCGCCGAAGTGAGCCGCCGCTGACAGCGCTCACCTTAGCATACCTGCCATTCATGGGATCTCGCCTTCCCCTTATGGTATGCCACTTACATTTCCTGCGTCGGTGCCATATCTCTTAGCCTCTGCGCTGGACTAATAATCAAAGGTCCAGAGCTATCGCGACAGACGGTTGATATATAAGGAGGTCGGCCGTCAAAAGGAGGACTGTGCATCTTTCCCCCAGAGTCTCATGTTCTCTCTAAGAAGCTGCGTTCAAGGTTGAACCTACTAACTCTACAACTCACAAGCTTAACAAGACCTAAAACGACGCGCATGGCGACCCCCCGCTCCCTGGGAAGCACCGTTCACTGCCTGAGTTACACTGCCGCTACTGCTCGAGGCTCATGCTGTGTTGACTTCAGGCACTTCTACCGGTCCAGGGCATCTATACACTATGCATGTTCATCGCAAGATGCACTGAGAATTTTCCACCCGTATAGTGGCGCGGTTTTCCCCTTGTGCATTTGCGCCGCTTCACAGGTGATCAGAGGTGATCGCCACTATTGTACTTTTATTCACACGTCCCTTCAGCCAACCTTCAGTTCTACCAAGAGACATGGAAAATGGCGGTGCCAATGGAGGTGTGGGCCAGATATGGTTAGGATCATGCCTCGCGCCTCGAGCGTGACGTCGGGTGGAGCGCAGCGGATTACCGAAATAGGCAGCCAGGAGGCATACAGACTCGGGGTGCCTGGTCGATTTTTGTTCAATAACTCCTCGTGCTGGGCGACCCGAATTCGAAACGCCCGTCCGCTCCTTTCGATCGGACAGACTATTTGTCCCCTTCATATCTTCCACCGACTGCTCCATCTTTCATCTTTCACCCTCGACGACCATGTTCGTGTTCCGTTTGCCCTACCGCTTGCTCGTTGGCTGACCCCTCTCACAGGTCGTCGGGTAACTCGATATCGAACGCCCAAAGCTCAACTACCGCCACTTTTGTCACCGCTCTCGTCTTCAATGCCGCAGTTTTTGGCATAGAGTTAGCCGCCTTCACCGCAGTTCGGCCGTATTTCCCTGCCATCTATCAGCCGAGAACATACATTCCTCCAGAAAGGCAAGTCTTCTAGTTGCGGCGTCTTTGTAGACGCTCATATCTCTCAGTCGTCGTTCGAAGCCGCTAGGGCAGCAGTTCTACATCTGGCCGTGGTCCCTCTACAAAGCCGATTACAGAGATATACAGGTTCAGAATGGCCCGGATGCATACTTTTTTGTGCGCTTTCTCCGCATGATGGTCCGCATCCTCCTCCCGGTGTGGCTTATTTCCTGGGTCGTCCTGCTGCCGTTAACTGCGGTGGGCGCCTCCGCCACCGGTCTGAATCGGTTCAACTTTGGCAGCATCAGCGTGGACAATCAGACGCGGTATGCGGCGCACTTGATCCTTGCGTGGATTTTCACTAGTACGTGGCCCGTAGTCTTATCGCCCGTTCGTGTGCTTATGTTCCGTAGTCTGGATATGGTACAATCTTCGCCAGGAAATGTCGCACTTCGTCACAACGCGGCAGCGGTGGCTCATGGACCCGGCCCAAGCGTCGTCTGCTCAGGCCAACACCATCCTCGTCACCGGCGTGCCTCAGCGGTACCTGAGCGAGGCAGCCTTACGAACCCTGTTTTCGTACCTGCCGGGTGGTGTCCGTCAAGTCTGGGTCAACAGGTAGGTGCCATGGATCGTGTGCCTTGTACAGACCTGACACTTTTCCAGGGATCTCAAGGAAATGCCCGACCTGCATGACCGTCGCATGGCCGCGTGCAACCAGCTTGAGTCGGCAGAAACGAGCTTGCTCAACACCGCCGCGAAGCTGCGCAACAAGAAGCTGAAGAAGGAGGCTAAGACAACAAAGAAGGCTGGGAAGAAGAGCCTTGACAGCACTACGGATGTGCGCCCGCTGACCCGCGAGAGCATCCCGGACACCGAACGCGGGGACGTTGCCCTTGCGGAGAAACTGGTACCTCGCGGGAAGCGCCCCACGCACCGGCTCCCACTATTGTCATTCCTTCCGTCTCTTCCCCTCGTTGGGAAGCAGGTCGACTCCATTGATTGGGCGCGCGAAGAGATCGTCACCACGTCAGCTGCGCTGCGCGAGTGTCGCCGCACGCTTGCAAAGGATGTCGCCCGCACATCCACTGCACCAGTCCCTGATGACGATGAGGGGAACAGCGTCAAGCCGGACCAGTCGCAAACGTACCCTCCTCTCAACTCGGCGTTTATCTTGTTCAACCAGCAGGTTGCTGCCCATCTCGCTGCCCAGACACTTACCCATCATGGACCGTATCGGATGGCATTCAAGTCCATCGGTGTCGCGCCCGATGACGTCATTTGGGGCAATCTGAATATGAACCCTTACGAGATGAAGATCAGGGTTGCCATTAGCTGGGCAGCTACTATCGGCCTGATCATTCTCTGGGCCTTCCCAGGTGCGTATTTTCTGTTGCCAGTTCAAAGATGCAATCTAAGTTTGGGTTATTAGTGGCTTTCATCGGCGCGGTCAGCAATATCCATTCCCTTTGCGCTACCTACAGCTGGCTCTCGTGGCTATGCTCGCTTCCGCCTGTCGTGGTCGGCATCATCACCGGTATTCTGCCGCCCGTGTTGCTCGCCGTCCTCATGATGCTCCTCCCGATCATCTTGCGGTTGATGTCCCGCTTTGAGGGTGTACCGCAGCGCACCGGAATCGAGCTCAGCCTTATGCATAGATTTTTCCTCTTCTTGGTCATCGTAAGCAATCTCAAGTCTCATGTTTGCGTTGACGCTCATTAATATTCAAACGCAGCACTCCTTCCTGATTGTAACTATTAGTTCTGGCATTATCGCCGCTCTTCCCGGCCTTGTGAAGAATCCCTCGTCGGTCCCCACGCTCCTCGCTCAGAACCTTCCCAAGGCGTCGACTTTCTTCCTTACGTACGTTCATACATTTGTGGCGGACTGACAAGCTGGCTTACTGTGATATCAGTTATATCATCCTACAGGGTCTGAGCGGAACGGCGTCGGGTTTCCTGCAGATTGTCGCGCTCGTCATCTACTACTTGAAGCTATTCATACTGGGAAGTACGCCGCGCTCGATTTATAGGAATAAGTACACACTGCGCTCGGTCAATTGGGGCACATTGTTCCCCTCAACGACGCTGCTGGTCGTCATCAGTACGTTGACTTCTTCTCTCCTCGTCGTACTGACTGACGCTCTGCTATGGTCTGTGTTGTGCTCTCGCAGCGCTCTCTTATTCGATCATCTCGCCCATCATCAACGGCCTCGCTTTTGCGACTTTCGTCCTGTTCTTCTTCCTGTACAAGTACCTCTTCCTTTATCAGTACGAGCAGCCGCGAGCGAGCGAGACCGGCGGCCTCTTCTTCCCGATTGCCATCCAGCACGTCTTCGTTGGGCTGTACCTCCAGCAAATCTGCCTGGCTGCGCTGTTCTTCCTCGCGCAGGACGCGAATAAGAAGCCCAGTGCGATACCCGAAGGCGCGCTCATGGTGGTGCTGATCGTGTTTACGGTGTGTTCCTGATTTTCCCGTGTTCCCGCCATGCGATGAGCTTATCGCCGACTGACGACGACACTGCAGGCGTTCTTCCATCTCGTCATGAACAACTCATTCGGGCCGCTGATTAAATACCTGCCGCTGACACTCGCGGACCAGGCCATACCCGTGCCCGACGAGAACCGCGCAGCCGCGGAGCGCCAGCTGGATGACCAGGCGTCCGTGCACAGCGTCAACCCCGAGAAGCAGCGCCTGCGCGACGGATCGACTGACACCGCGCCGAGCCAGGACGCCTACGCCAAACGTGCAGAGACCGTCGAGGAGGCGGAGCGCGGCGCGCCCTGTGGGTCCGGGGACGTTGACGGTGGCGTGGACTCGATCAAGGGCGTGGACGAGGAGGACGGCCCGAAGGACTTCTACCACCCCGCGAGCGTGGACCCTCAGCGGGTCATTTGGATACCACAGGATGCACTTGGCCTTGCTGTCGTAGAGGAGGAGGCGATGAGGCAGCGGGGCATATTGGTGTCATCGAGGAATGCGGAGATGGACGCGAAGGGAAACGTTGATATCCAGGGGCCGCCGCCGGACCAGCTAGAGGCCAAGTGAGGCCATGCTACGCGAGCCTCTGACGTGCGGGAACTTCCTCACACGCGGAAGGGAGTGCTGGATGCTTTATTGGACATAGTGGAGATGAGTTGCAGTCGGTGGCGGTCTCTTGCCTATTTGTTTGGACTGCGTGCTCACCCGGCGTCGTCATGTCATGATAGATAATTCTGCTTGGATTTCTTGGAACTTGTAGCATATCAATATTTCAATTCTTTTGACACAGTCCTGCACTGGCCATGGGTGCACTCGGGACTCACCTGCATTCGTTTGCAATATGCGGACAGAGGAGTCGTACAGTATGCTGCGTACCGCCCGTGCGGGTCACGTCGGGTCTTGGCTCTGGATACTGACGACGGAGGGCCCTGATGTGAGGGTCTGCAGAGGACCTACACAGAGTGCGCCCGGAGGTGCGTATTAAGGTTTAAGCATATGAGTGCCACTTACTTTCGACCCCTTTCTTGCAGATGTCTTCGTCCACCCCTGCACCACTGCCATCAGAGCAGTCTTTGTCCGACCCACCTCCTCGTTACACGAGCAGTCGTGTCCATCCTTATTGCCCAACCTGCGCCTGTCCTCCACCACCTCCTGACTATAGGACTGTACAGACTGAAGATGAAGACCATGAGTGGGCCTCCCTGCATCCAAGTATAACCCGCAACTTTGACTCTATTAGTTCAATGACACTGACCCTTCCATTGACGGACTAATCCGTATTCGATTTTTTGACTATGTGCTCGCAGGACCTTACCAGCATAGAGAACTACTCTTTCCTCTCGCTGGGGATGGGTTTCTGGACTACAAAAGTTCTCGCTGAGACTTTAGAGGTCAAGAAAGTTATGGTGTGCCACAATCCCTCTTATTCATAAATAGGAAACTCTGCTGAATACGACTGTTAACTCCAAAGATTCCAGTGCCTCTCCTAACTCCTCTTCGAGAATCGGCGTATTTCATTAGGGAAGCAGTCCGGCTGAGCGGTTACGTGCCAGTAGCTGGTTTGTATCCTCAGCTCACGTTATGCCACCGAGCTGCTGGACGTGTGCGCGCTCCATGCTGATGTATTCATATCTTAGAATTCAGCCGTAATGAGACGGAAAAGTTCCCCTACAGCCTCTTCCTCCCCCGGTCGAATGTCCGCGTGCGATGGTATCCTTCGCCAAGCACCGACATGTCGCTGTTTGAAGAGGCACTGGAGGAAATCGATGTGCATGCGTGTCTCTCCCTTGGAAGCATTGCTCGGAAGCACGGCATTCCGCACGTCCAAGTCTTTAATCCTTGCACGCTGCAGCGCATTCGCACTAAATTCATGGGCGTCCTCCATCCTCTGGAACGATCTCGTGCTATGGGCATCAGGGCATTTATTGCGGTCACCGGTGAGGCCATTTCAGAAACTCCATCTTCCAATGTGCTGTCGCTTATCCTGATAAAACTTTCGCCTTGCAGATGCGACGGTACCCCTCCCCGTAGCAAGCATAAGTGATGTGCAAATTAATCGGGAGGCAGGCAGCGTTTGGCGTGATGGTAATGATCAGATCGTTCCAACCTAGCTTACTATCCACCCCATTACCGTTGAAGCATGGCGGAACTGGTCTGTTGACCCGCGGTGTCGGTAGGGTGCGCTACTTCATTCACATCAGGGTACGAGGCCGGACGGAGGCTCCTATTTTCATAGATACCTCGATTAACAGAAATTGACTACACTGTACTCATTCGAAAGAGCATGCATGGCAGCAACGCGAACCCGGCGAGCGGATGCTGCTATGATATCCAGTGTTGCCGGACGTCGGCTTTTTTCTATCGCTGAGGGATCTGCGAGGCATAGATTTCCGACGGTTAATATCCACCGCGGCACCGTAACAGGTGTGAGCAGAAATAAAGTATCAAAACGACGTGGCCGAAAATAAATGAAGTTCAGGCGTGTTACAATTCATCGTGCGTACTAGATTCCACGCCATCCGAAAATTCAGGTCGTCCAGAAAAACCTGGAGATGGTGAGGAGACTGTAGATGCGCTGGATGTACCCAGTATATCGAGAATTGAGGTATCCAAAGGAGGCAGACTCTCATCCACAGCTTCTGAGGGATGTACGGCCAAGCTGGTCGCTGTAGCTGCCACAGAGGAAGCTGTCAGCACCGCGGTCGACGCCGCCTCTACGACTGTTTTCAACAAGACCTCTCCTTCCTCCATCCGCACCAGCCCCGCGTCCCCGCTAAAGTCTGGGATGAAGCGTGTCCACCAGAGCGCGATCCGCAGGCCGCGGTCAACGAGGCGCTGCTTAAGGATGAAAAGCACGACGAGGAGGAAGAAGGCGAGCCCGGCGAGGATAAGTAGGCGGTCCAGCCAGTCGGACTTCTCGAGCGCAGTTATGAGCTGCTTCGAGGCCGACATGAGGCCGTCGAGCACGTCATGAGTGGAGGAAGTCGAGCGGAGAGCTGCAGTCGATGAATCTGCGTGCAGCAATAGTTAGTGCGGTCGGAACGGATACAGATACTTGGAGCTCACCGAGAAGTTGGCTTGAGAGGACCGAGCGCTCGAGCTCACCCTGCATGAGGTTGATCGTGCGCTGTAGTGCTTCCGTTACGTCGTTATTAGCCTTCATGAGTGCGTCTTCGCTGTCATCCTGTTAGCGAAGGCCTCGGTAGAGTCGAATGAAACACTGACGTGACTTTCTCATTCAGAGTCTGTTTCTCCGTCACAGCAGACGAGTGCAGGAGCTCTTCTCTACTCGACAGCTGGTTTGCGTCAATCACGCGTTTCGATGCGAGCACGGCAGCCCGAGTGTCTTTGCGCAGACTGCACAGGGTGAATGTCCACGCGAAAGACAACGCAGCACCGCGCTCACCTCGTCAGAGCATCGCGGAATTCGTCAACAATTTGCCTGAGCTCCTGCCGATCGCGCTCGCTCGCCTGGTCATCAACTGCGATGTCAAGAACCTATTCAGATGGTTTTGCAGCGCGTCACGGACAGGGCGGAGCACGCCTTACCTCGATATGCCGGGTGAATGCATCCAGGTCCTCACGCAGTTCTGTCGCGAGCTGCTGCTGGACCGCGAGCGGGCCCTTGCATGTCCGCAGGCGGGGTATCTGAAAGTCCGCAATGTCCTTCTGTTTCCGTTGTACGGAGGCTATGAGAGATGTTGTCCCTTCGTCGAGCATGCTGGGAATGGGTGGCATTGTACTAGGAGACGAGAGAACGTTTAAACTGATATGATACCTCTTCCAGGATTCTCGTGAACGGGGATCGTGATCTCCACGCTGTTAGAGGCTCTTGCGTACGAGACCAAACCGCATCCTTTGTCGGAATGCCGGCCCGGATCTGCCGAGCGCCTAGAAGCACCCTACTCCGTTCGCTTGAATTACATAAGAGCCGTTCCTTCGTATACGCTCGAGTCACGGCGAAAAGGGTTGCAATCCAAATCGATTAATCTGTTTTCTCAGAAACTATTCAATATTAATGTCTCTAGCTCGACAGGCAGGGAAACCCAACTTTTTCTTAAGAGAACACTTAACTTAAATGCACTTATAGTTCTCATTTAAGGGAAAAAATGACAAAAAGGGCCTAACATTAAGTGTCTGAAATCAAACTTATTGAGACTTATTTGAGAATTTTTAGTTTTAAATAATGGTGTTGCATGGTCCAGTCCTAGGACCACTCTAGGACTGCGGACTGGACCAGGACTATGAGGAGTGGTTCTAGGACCAAACACTGGTCCTGAAGCACTTGAAGATGTGTGACCTTTTGCTGATGGACCAGATCATCTTGGTCAAGCCATGGGATACTAGCAGAGGTGGCCCATAATTTTGGGGATGTGGGACGAAGAGGCATTGGGTGCTGTATGAGAAGGAGCGGGCGGATGAGCTGATCGAACTACGTCGCTTGCCAAAAACGGAAGGCGGGGACAGTGGCGGGGCAGTGGATCATATTTCCTTTGTCGCAAAACACCCAACGTCCTCGACTCCTCGTAATTATCTGCTTTTTACGCATATTGCGAACTTACTGTCAACTACTATTATACTTACTACGATGGACACTGACAATTCTGCACAAACGGCTGCAATTGATGCTTCTGGTAATGCTACCGTCGAGCAGCCGCTGCCCGCCGCGTCTCCTAAAGGACGACAGTCGAAACGCCCTCGCTGGCGACGCACCACAACGGAAGCCGGCGCACCCCGCCCATGCTATCTCGCTGAAGTGCCCTTGGAAGTTTTGGCCGAGATATTGTCGCATACGGCGTCAACGCGGGATCTCCTCGCGCTTGCCCGGTGCAGCAAGCAGTTCTGCGCGACTCTTGTGGATAACCCAGCTACGGTCTATATCTGGCGCCGGGCTCGGGCGCGTTGTGCCCCGCTTCCCATTCCGGACCCCACGCCCAATTTCACGGAGTATTCGTATGCGGCCTTTTTGTTCGATGGGGGCGAGTGCGAGGTCGGTGGCACCTCTTATACATGTTTCTCTCATTGATCTGTGGGGACAGATATGCAAGGCCAAGACGCGCAACATGTATCGTTGGTTTGCCCTCCGTCTCCGTATTTGTGACAAGGTAAGTATGGTCGTTGCTTAACCTGCAGAAGCGCTCACTGTTGCACTGTGCACCAGAGCCTGTGCCGCACAAAGTGGAGGTAAAGCGCGTTCCCTCTCTCATAAAGGGTCTGTGATCTCACGCATGAGTAGGGAAAGTGTCATGACCATCACATTGGCCTCCGTGCCTCCTCGCTATTCGGAGCTTCTGTCCTGGATACCACGAACAGAGGGGAATGACCGTATGTTTAGCGAGTTAATGTCAGCATACCGATGATATGCTCATTTCTTGTACCCAGCATCCGTCGTTCTCTGGGTGCACGACGCCATTCAGATCAGAGCGACCGACTGGCTCGCCGCGGTGGACGAGTTTAACAAAGAATCTCGGATGCCAGCTACGCTCGAGGCGTATGTGCGCAGGAAGCAGGTTCTAGCCGATCGGCTACCGGTCATTATGGAGGTTTGTCTGTTTTGCTCGCCTGTGTCACACGTCTAATTGTCCGCCCAAAGCATGCACGGAAGTTGGCGCAGTGGAGGGGCATGCGTGAATCGTTCACGAAGCAGGTCAAGTCCAGGAACGAGGCGAAGTGCGTGTATTCCGCCGCTCGTATCTAGTGCAGTCTCTGATGTATATCGTTGCACATAGGGCAAATTCATTTGCCGTCGCCGAAGGCTGGTCAGCCTGGGATCTTCTGCACACAGAGACATACGGCCTGTTGCATCGCTCTAAAATCCTTTCACTAGAGAACGTCAAGGACACAGGTGCGTGGACTTTTCACCGTCTCACGCGTCCGACTACATGATGCTCCATGAACAGACTTCGCGTTGATCCGTCCCACTGTCGAACGGGAAATCATCGCAAACAAAGAGCGGCAGGAGCGCTGCGCTGCCGAACACGCCTATTCAAAGCGGCGGGCGGACGTCAAGCAGCACTACGACCGCCTGCGGTCCGCGGCAGAGAAGCAAGTGCTACCCCCGCTCGGCGAGTTCCGCAAGCTCTCCGTAATGCGGCTCATGCAGGAGAAGCCGTCCGATGCCGCGGCGGGCATCTCACAGGAGCTCAAGAATTCGAAGCTCGTCGCGGAGCTGCTGAAAGACAATTTGCGGGCATGGCGCGAAGGTGCGCGAGACGCGCTTGCTGCCGCACTTGGTTTCCCTGGCTGGAAGAGCTTCAGCAAAAAGAAGCTGCATCCCGTCGAACGGCTCAACGCGTGGTTCAAGTGCAAGAAATGTGCCAAGTTTGAGGGTGCCTCGAGCGGCTCGAGTAATCGCCCTCCGCTGCCTGCACTCGACTTCGCTGCCGCCTGTGAGCACAGGTGCCCGCATCTGAACAAGAGGAAGCGAGCGAGAGAAACTTGGAGCGCAGATCACTTCGAGCCTGATCAGCCTGTATGTTTCTGCTGTACGATCGCTTCTGATACAACCGACGTGCTGAGAAACTATTCAGGTTATAGACGCTACTACTCATATACTGAAGCTCTGCTCGATTGATCCTGAGGAGTCAGATTCTTTGAATAAAGTGCAGGGTTTTGGGACATCTTTCGGCTGTAAGTCGTGCCCTTCGCGGCTTGTCATGGACTTCAAGAGCATGGTGCGCACTTCTGCCGTCCGTTGAGCCGGACTCGATTCTGACTGCAATGCCAGGCACAACACTGTAAACGCCACGACAACCCCCAATTCTGCCGTCGCCTGGAGCAACCCAGCGTCATTGAGCACGGTCTTGCGAAAGAACTGCGCGATCACCCCTCGCGCGATGCGATCCGCCGCGCGGAGCTCGTGCTCTACGGCTGCCGACACTGTGAGCAGATTCGCGTTAAGGCCGGGGCTGCGGGAACCACCGACAAGAGCAACAGACTCGCACTGAAGGGCAAAATATATACCTTCCATGGCCTGCGTTCACATGTGAAAGAGAAGTGCGTCACGTATCCTCGTGGTGTGTCCGGTACAGTTTCTGATGCTGATGCCGTCGGCCCGTTTCTGCATCTAGACATGGGATCGCACAGATCGCGGACGAGGATTTCTTCCGTCAAAAAGAGCCTGAGGCCCCGGTGCAACCCGGATTGGTTTTCGATATCGATGCCTTGTAGACGATTTGGTGCTTTATCTGTATATTATCAAACCTGACTAATTGATATATTTCGGTGGAAGGGGCTGATGGCAGAGCGCCGAAACAGTGCTGCTCAGACGCGTGAGGCGTGTGCGAAGTGCGTGGTTCCGAATCTGGAAGTGGCAATCCACCTCGACTTCGTTTGTGTCGCGAGAACGTCCATGTCCGCAAGTGCTCTTCTCGGACTTCGAACCCATGCGCTGCACCATCACGAGAACATTCGTGCCGTACCCCGGAGAATTGCTCAGAGCCCTCGCCGAGTTCGCCTTGTTCTCTGAGCGAACGAACCGCAGGGAAGCGGGGTGCGTTCTAAAAGTTTCCGACCATCTGGCCCTGCCCGACCTGCGAGTTGATGTCTCGAGCACAGCACTGTGATCTGACCACCCAGCTCTACGTCATGAATACATGTGGCTACTTTTCTGCAGGTACGTCCGGCAGGCGCGAGCAGATGATGGAGCGAGCAGATGATGAAGCGGTACCATGTGAGTTTCCGTCGGCCAGTCTGATCGTTCCGTACTGATTCGCCCAGGGAGGAAGAAGGCGGTCCAAAATAAACCGTCCCGTCGCACCCGGACCCGGCTGGCTACACTAGGGTGCAGCCCGCTCTCAAGCACGCCAATGCAGCACTCCTCAGCGATTTCGCCAGCAAATAAATCTGTGCGAAAAGATGGAAGCAGATACTGGTGCCGGAGCCTCGTCCCCTGAGTGCGCGTATATAACCTCAGATGGTCCGTACGTCCCCTCTCGTCCTGCTCGCCAGGACGACCTGAACGTCTGTCTACTTCGCGAGAAGTTTGCTCCAATGGGTTTCCGTCTACTCGGCTCTGTCGTCCTCGCCCTCGTTACGTCCTGGTCCGTTCCTGGCGTCCTTGGAGGGCCCGTCCAGAGCCCCGACATCGTCATGCCGTCCGACGCCGCAGCGAACAGGCAGAGGGTGGTAGATGTGTTTACGACAAGCTGGGACGCGTATTCGTTCGTGCTTTTTTGCATCCGCTGGCTATTTGCCTCAATTGTAATTATATGCTGTAGGAAGTACGCGTACGGCCATGACGACCTGAGCCCCGTGAGCCTGAGCTACAGCGACTCGTATGGCGGGTGGGGCGCGACGATCGTGGACGCATTGGATACGATGGTGAGGTGTTACTCTGTTCTGCTCCGGGGCGATATGTGTGTTGACTCGTGGACGGCAGTACATCATGGGCCTGACGGTATGACCGACAGCGATCTCGGCCTGAGATATACAGATGTTGACGCGTCGAACTCAGGATCTCTTCGAGCAGGCCGTGAACTGGACCACCAGTCTGGACTTCACGGTCACGCCCACGGACGACGAGATTGAGTGCGCACCCATCTCCTGTCTACCCCTCGTTGTCTAATTAGCCATTGCTTAACCATGCGTTCGTCACCGCAGCCTCTTCGAGACGACCATCCGGTACGTCGCTGCGTCGTTGTGTGCGTACGAGTTGAGCGGCGAGAAGTACCCCGCGCTCGTAAAACAAGCTCAGGCACTCGTGGACAAGATGTCAAACGCATGGGTCGGGGTGCGTCTCTTCCTCGACGCGGGTTATGTGTCTGTGTCTGATGCGTGGTCTGGCAGGACAACGCTGTCCCATATGGGTATATGAACTGGAACCAGAGCGTGCCCGTTGTCGGGACGGTAAGATCGCTTGCAACGCTACTTTCTGCCGTTGCTGATGCGCTGTTCTGGCAGTCCAATATCGCAGAGGCGGGAACAGTAAGTGCTCGAATACCTACACGCATATATGCACTTGTTCTGAGTGATCTGGGACGGGGGATGTACTGTAGCTCACTTTGGAGTGGGGCACTCTGGCGTACGTCGTGTCTTTGCATTGAGATACTTTATAGGATCTAACGAGGCTTTTCAGCAACTTCACAGGAAATGACACATACCGTGTCCTGGCGGAGAAGCCAGTACGTTGGATCGCGAATCTGGTGCGTGACAGCTCATATTCACCGACTTCAGTAGTCTCACTGACCCTTGCGCTATGTTTCTCGCAGGCCCCGCCTCTCCCAGGTACGTAAAGTCAGGTCTGCAGTTCCCGAGCTCGGTCTCAGCCCTCCCAGGCCTGCCCGCGCAAGGAATAGACCCCAGCACGGGAGATTTTGTCGGGTCATATGTGGTGTGCACCCTTTCCTTTTCCCTTCCGTGCACGATGGTGACGATGCCAGACCTGGGGCGGCGGCTCGGACAGCTACTTCGAGTACTTGATCAAGTACGCGCGGTTGACAAACACGGACGACACGCTCTTCGCGGACGCGTGGGCGACCGCGGTGGACTCCTCGCTGCACAACCTCGCGCGGGTGCGTGCCCCGTTTCGTTCTGTTTCCCACTGTGCACTGCTGAGGTGCAGTTGGACGCGACGCGTGTGGGTTGACGCGGACAGACCTCAACGGTGCAGGAGTGGCAGTACCTGGCGGACTGGGATGATGGAACGATCATCCACATCGGGTCGCACCTCGAGTGCTACCACGCGGGGAACTGGATCCTCGGTGAGTCTGGTGTCTCTGCCGCTTGGGATGACGTTGTCTGGGGATGCTGACGCGGGCGCACACTGGCAGGCGGGAGTCTGTTGAACAATGCGACGATTGTGAATTTCGCGCTGGACCTGATGGACGCGTGCTGGAACACGTACGCGAGCACCGCGTAGGCCCCTTCCCCATGACTTGGCTGAGGTCGCGCTGACGCTCGCTGCGGCACGCAGGACAGGCATCGGCCCCGAGGTTTTCGGGTACTTCTCCTCAGACGGGAACTACACGGGCTCCTCGCCGAGCTCGGGGGACCTCGCGTTCTATGAGCGGCACGGGTTCTTCGTGTACCCCGGCGACAGCGACTACTACCTGCGGCCGGAGGTGCTCGAGTCGAACTTCTACGCGTGGCGCGCGACGGGGGACGTGCGCTACTACGAGAACGCGGTGAGCGCGCTCGAAAGCTTCGAGACGTGGCTGCCGGCGCCCGTGGCGTATGCGGGCATTGACGACGTGGACGCGACGGACTCGGCGTTCATCGATGACATGCAGAGCTTCTGGTTCGCGGAGGTGCTCAAGTATCTGTGCGTCTATCCACTCAGCCTTTCCTCCACGTCCGGCTGCTCACAGCCCTCTGTTTCGTTTCCCCGCGTGTGCGCAGGTACCTGACGTTCAGCGACCCTAGCGTGATCAGCCTCGACGACTGTGCGTGCCCTAACCTCCTTCATTCGCACTCACAATCGCTGACTCAGTCGCTCGCAGACGTGTTCAACACGGAGGCGCACCCGTTTAAGGCACCGCCGGCGAAGGCAACGTACGGGAGCGGGAACCTGTTTGTCCCGTCCGGGACGTTTGCACCGCAGGCGGGCCCGCTACCACAGGTGAGTCCCGCGCCGCCCGTAGCGCCGAGCCCGGTGCCGCCGACGCCGACGCTGTAGGTGGCGGAGGAGGGAGAGGCTCGGAGGAGCGCTGGAGGAAGTGAAGAAACTAAAGGCGAGGGCCGAGCGCGTGAATGGAGGTAGTATGTGTGCTTTCCGGCGTTTACTTTTATTGGGCATCTTGAAAGATTTGGACGTTGAACGATAGTCGTGATCTGTCGTCTGTACGAGCCGATATATCTTCCTAGCGTATGCGCATCCGTGAATGGCACCGGTCAGTAGTAGCGCGAGCTGAGTGGTGGTCATTCAATATTCAATGCCAATCTGCACTCAACAGTCGCGTCGATCGCCGATGCCAGATTTACCGCACAAAATGAGAGAAGTAAATATCAGTTGCAAGCGAATAATAGTGAAAAATGCAGCAGACTAGAGACACATAAAGACGTGGACACAGTCCTTTTGCAGTATGACAGCGTCCTCACCTCCTCCCTAGCCCAGCTCACTTGTTTGCGCGCCACGCCGCACTGCGTGAGAGCGCCTGCTGGCCCGCGAGGACGGTCACGGCGCCGAGGCCCGCGCTGTAGAGAAGGACCTGCCCGAGACGGAGATCGACCCAGTACCAGAAGAGCAGCACCTCGAACGCGCCGAGACAGCCCATGAAGGGGAGCGTGTACGGCGAGAGGAGGTGCGGGAGGCGTGGGGAAATCTGTGTCCACTGATGGTTACGGGTGGGTTAGCGTTAACTCCAGGCTAGGGGGGATACAGGGCTTACAAGCGTGGTGAGCAGGAGCCAGGGGGCGACGGTGAAGTAGGTGAAGAGCGCGGACACGAGGGGCGGGGGCCGCTTCTGGGGCTCGCGGAAGGTGTGTGCGATGGGCGGGCGGGGGTGGAAGGACGCTTCGTCCGGGTGCACATGCAGGGGGAGCGAGGGCGGGACGGTGAGCGAGAAGAGGTCGTATTTGGCAGGTGTGTGCGTGAAGGAGCCGAGGAGGAGCGTCACGTTCAGCGGCGCCGCGGCGGTCGGCGGGAGCGAGGCAGGCGGGCGTGCCATGTTCTGCAGCGCCAGTTCAGTTCAGTCAGATCCCACAGCAATTAGAGGGTATGCACACCAGCTCGAACTTGGCCTTTCCGCCGGCTGTGACGCGGACGGGCTGGATGCCCTCCTCGCCGGAGGCTTCGTCCACGAAGCGGAGGAAGGTCTGATGCGGCTGCACGCCCTTGCCCTCGTCGTCCACGACCTGGAATGTCAACTTCAGAGCGTCCACGGGGCCGAGCGTCAGCTCTGGCACCACGCCCTGGGCAAGCAGCCTGTGGGCAGAGGCGCGTCAGTGTGCGTGTGTACGTGTCAGCGGCGGGCGTACGGCTGTGTGTGCAGCTGCGTTGCATCTGGTCCGAAGAGGGTGACGCGGGGGGATTGCAAGGAAAGGGCGGAGGTGTGGGCTTGGGCGGTGGCCAGCAGGGCCAGCAGTGCGAGGGCGAGTGTGCCCATGGCAGAGATCGTTTGCCGCAGAACGCTGCGGCGACCAGCTCTCCAACATTACCGGCTATCCAAGCTTAATAATTGAGATGAGAAACATCTAAATGTCCGGTCCTATAGCTCAGTGGTAGAGCGTACGATTGCAGTCCTCCAAGAGGAAAATTATCGTACTGTCGCGTGTTCGAGCCACGCTGGGACCTTACCATGATAGGTCCAGTGTTTTGTTCGGTTTTGTGTTTCCTTGTGGAAAAGAAGCCTTTTAGTTTTTGGAGGAGCACACGGGCCCGGGCGACTGACAAGGTCAGCCCTACGAGTCCAGCTGGTCATCGGGAATTTCACCTGAAAAGAAGCCTTTGTTTTTGAACGACGTGAAACCCCGAACAATGGTAAGGCAATCATAATATAAGGCAAAGAAACATAGATTAGAATCTACCCTTAAAAGCCTTCTCCCAAGTCAGGTCCGTCCTCATCCAGGTCTCCTTCCTGTATTTCCTTTGCCAACTCCTTTTCCCGCTCGCGAGCTCCCTCCGCCGCAGCAAGCTCTTTTCGATGTGCGTTCAGCGGATACCGCATTGCCTATTCCATATCGTCAGCTAAAAAATTGCCTCAACCCACACGTGTCCAACGCACCTTTACGCTTTGGTTGTGCAACTCCAAGCAGTACGCGATGCGGCGCGCAAACACGTCGCTCACCTCGGGGCCGTACCCGCTCTTCCGGCCCGCGCACTCCATCCACCCGCGCTCATGCACGATCCGGCCCTCGATCACGCCATCGCGGATCGCCTTACCGACGATGTACTCCGCGTCCTCCTCCGAGTCCAGGTGCAGCTTCACGCAGATGTCGCGCAGCGAGATTCGCGAGTACGAGAGCGAGAGCCGCCGGATGCCCGTCTTGATCACGTTCTGCCGCAGCCGCACGATCAGCGTGTACGTCTTGTCCGCCTCGAACTGCGCCGCGTGCGCCGAGAGCGTCGACTGGAACTGCGAGAGCGAGCCCGCGCGCACCGCTGCACACCATGTCAGTATACTACACGTGGACCTGCAGTGTGAGACTGGGTGACGCACCTTTTACGATGTCAAAGTACGCGCTGAGCGCCTTCTCGAGCACTGGGTGCCTAAACAGGCTGCGCTCCGGAATGTCACCCATGAGGAGCTCGACGACGACGAAAAGCTTGTGCACAGCCTGGAAGAACCCGGGCGCGGTGCGGGGCGCGGGTGCACGCCGGATCGCCTGCTGCAAATTCGTGTGCGCGGCGGTGTAGTTGAGCTGCACGGCCTTGATGCGCCCGAGGAAGTAGTGGTACCGCGCGAACTGGGGGTTGCCCGCGCTCGCGGGGAAAGACGTCTTCGAGACGAGCTTGTCCGCCTGGTCGTACAGGCTGTAGTGCAGGTAGCTCCGGAGCAGCCGGTTGATGAGCGACGCCTGCGTCTCGTCATCGTGCCGCAGCGACGCCGTGCGTTGTGCTGCGAGGAAAAGTCTGTGAAGGGTAAGAAGTTAGCATGCGAGGCTGGAAGGTGTGGATGGGAGAAGTGCGCACGTCCTGGCGTCGGCGAGCTCCCCGCAGAGCTCGTACGCCCGCTCGACCGCGTACCACACCTTCGCGGCGAGAGGGTCCATGCTCCGCCGGTTGAGCGCCTGCATCCTCTCCACCGTCTCGTGGGCGAGCTTCAGTGCTGCGGGGTCGGGCCCACTGGGCGCCGCGAGTAGGTAATGGATGAGCAACAGGCGAAAGTAGATCTCGCACTCCGGAAGGGGCTCTGGCTGCGCCTTTGCTGGCGTGGGTATCGCTCCGGGTGCGGGAGTAGAGTCGATGTCCATCGACTGCTCCGCCGCAGGGATCCAAGCGAGCAATGCTGCTCGAGAGAGGGAGTCCGCTGGCGTGCAAGTTAGAGACGTCGGTCAGCGCACCAGGAAAAAAGACAGGTTGTACGCGCACAGTTGGTGTAGACCTCCTCGACAGCGGTGCGGAGAACGCGGGCGTCGAGCCTGTGGCGGAGCGCAGTGAGTGAGCGCAGGACGCGGTGCGTGAAGCGCGGCTCGAGCGTGGAGACGGCGCGCTCGATGAGGGCGACGTTCGCCTTGATATCGGCGACGGGCGTTGGTGGTGGCAGTTTCTGCTCTTCCTCTGAGGGCTTGTCGTCCCCGGGCTTGTCGACGGGTTTCATCTCAACGTCGGCCATGGTGTGTGGATTCAAAGGTCTAGGGAAGGAGCGTGTAAGTACACCGCTGGACGCGTCACGGTGCTCATTGCAGGACGCGTCAGCTTGCAGCGCCGCGGAGGTAGAGCGGACTTTGTATGTTCTTTTCGGAATTCGAACTGGAGGGTTTCTCAGCTTAACCCGACCTGGCTCCGCTAAGCTTCTATTCGTGTGACGCCATTATGTCTGCCGTCCTGCGTCGTCTCTGGCAAAAGATTCGCGCGCCTGTAGCTCGTCTTCCTTCGTTGCATGAGCACATACTGACGGAAGTGTGCAGAGATATTATGTGGGGCGTGATCTGGAAGGTGCGCCGTGCTTAAGCTGCGAAATGCGCGTCGTCGCAATGTGTCCGACCGCTCTCGTCCAGGGAACAGATTTTTTGAGCATCCCAACCCGAATGACGGTGCGTGCTGCTCGACTGCTTCTTGCGTCCACATACACTTGAATACTCACACTACACTGTATACATAGATTCGAGGACGAAGCGCGTCGTGAAGTACCAGCGGGGTCGGGACATGTGGCATTACATCGCAGGAAACAGACGAATCGCAGGTGCATCGCTCTAGTGATATAGCTGCTCTATCTCGTCTCACCTCGTACCCACCCTGCAGTGCAATGGACATCGTGGCTCACACACACCCGCCCGAACCCGCCTACCCTGGAGGTGCGCACTGCATACACTCGCATCCGAGAGGACCATGCACTGACGCGCACCCAAGGAACTCCAAGCAGACGCGGAACGCCAGCGCCGGGTCCTCCTCAATGTTGCTATCCTTGAGGCTCGCGATCGCGAGGAGCGCGCGCGGGTCCAGCAGCAGGCCGAGGTGCAAGCGACACTGCAGGCGCCCCCACTCGCGTCCGCATCTATGCCTGCAAGCAACACTTCAGCCGCTCCCACTGCGAAACCAAACGCGCCACCAAAATCTGTCGAGCAGCCCGCGCCTGGTGCATCTCCAGAACCTGCAGAACGTGCGGGCGCGCGAGGCCAGCCGTCGGACTTCCCGTTCCCCCAGCCGCCGTCGGACGAGCCGCAATCGTGGAGTCCACGCACGATACGGAGGGGTGGTGGGTAGAATGTGGTTTTGGGTTTCGTGAGCTGTCTTGTCGTATCTTTTCGTGTTTTTCCATGTACCGCCATATGTGTAATTTTCAATTACTGATTCTATGCGGTGGATCTGGATCTGGTGGGTAAAATGTCTCTGTGGACGATCGGCATGTTGTTGAGAAGTTACCGGAGGCCGACCAGTGTGAAACGAGCAGCATGATTGTGTTTGCTAGGGCTCGCTCTTCCTCATCCAGGCTGTCTGTCGAGTCGACGTTCTCCGCCGTGCTTGACATAATTTGGGACTAGAAAGATGCACTCGGAGTCTCTGGAACAGCACAGGATTTTGCATGCCTGTGAAGATAGAAGTAGGGCGTTCTCCGAACAGCCTCATGGCACTCCAGCCACTAGCACTACCGCCCCGCCGTGTCCTGCATGACATGGCCGCTTCCTTTCCATGACCTACCGAGAGCCTTTTCTATTTCTGCACTCTGTCTATCTACCAAGGCCATCTGGATGCACTGCGGCGATGCTTTCAGACAAGGTACGCCGAGCGGTCGCAGCCCTCCTGCGAAAGCTGCTGTCGTCGAAGCTGCTCCAATATCCGCTGCGGGCCTTGCTATATCTGTGGCTGTTCCTCAAGCGTCGGATCTTCGGACTTGAAAATAGCAGGCGGTCAGACGGAGGAAGAAAACCTGGAGGTAACGCGGGCGTGCTACCTTCTGCAGGGCCATCTCCGGATCCCAGGCTGAGATGGGGAACTGAGGGAGACTGCACGCGGAGTTCCAGCAGTCCAGCGGAGCCGAAGCTGCGGTGGGTAGACGAGGAAATCGGGAAAGACACTCAGGTCGTCTCTGCAAGCCAAGTCCCGCTGTCCGCCCTCGGACTCAATCTCGGACAGGGCTCACCCCGTCTACTCCAGCCTACAGACGTCCCCAGCACTGGATCGGTGTCGGCGAACGGGGACACTTTCTTGCACCCGTACGCGTGGCCGCGGCATAATGCCTCGAAGTCCTCGCAAGACATCGGCCTGATCTCTCTCAGCGACCGGGGGCAGGACCGCGAGGATGGTCACCTGTCGGTCCGGTCGAACGTCTCTCAAGCCCTCCCGGGGCACTTGCGCCCGACGTCTCGCGCGTCCTCGCGCGCAATCTCGCGAATCGCCTCACGCGCGCACTCTCGAGCATCGTATTCGACACGCGCACCGTCGCGCTCGCGCTCGCAGGCACCGTCACCGTCCCCGCAGCGCTCCGCCATCGAGCTCGCGCCGCAGTACTCCCCGGCAACCCCGAGCCCACGTCTCGCCGTGCCCGTCGGGAACACCATCCCGCCGCCCTCATTCCAGTCGTGCGAGTTCACGCCCAAGTGCAGGCAGAAGATGTACCCGGTGATGGAGGTCCTGCGGTACGAGCGCAAAGTCATCATGTGCGTAGTGCTTCTTGTGGTCCGGCGATGATCGTTGAACGTTCACGCGGCCGCAGACCGAACGTGGAACTGCAATGCATTATTCCCCCGCTGACGACGTCCTTCCCGCTGTACGTCTCCTTGCTTATCATGCTGCGAGCGGCACTCATGGATACTGCCAGTGAAGGGGCACCCCCTGATTGGGTGGCATGTACGCACCCGGAAGGCGCGCTGTACTTTTACCACCCGGGCAGAGTAAGATTCTTATGTAGTCTGATTGTCGGGCTGTGAACTGACGGCATCGGCTCTAGCGAATATACACGGAGGCCAACCTGTGCGAGCCCGATATGTTGCTAGAAGTATTGGCGTTTGCTGAACAGATTGAGGAGACCGTGCGTAACGATAATATAGTGCTCCCAGAGGATGCGGAACTAGTGTTAGATCTGGAAAACGACGAGGAAGGCGGGCGTAATTGGTGTTACTACTACGCCAGTGACAGCAGACGGACGTTGTTCTGGCTGCATTCATATGATGCATCTGACATTTTGCAAGCGGAAGTGAGGGGAGTGAGCTCACTCGCCCATATCAGTATGGTTCATTTCTCACCCTGAGTTGATCCCCACAACTAAACGGTGCTCCTAGAGCACGAATTAGAGGGCTACTATTGGTACGTGCTGCAGCGAGCCAGTGCGTATTTTCGGATGAATAGCCTGCGTAGATCGCTGATCTATTTCTCCCGTCACCAGCGTGTTCTATCCCTTTGCTAAGATCTACGTAGGCAACACATAGAGCAATTCCCATACAATCATAAGCCATCCGAGGATGTGCTGAAGCACCTCACGAGCATTATTCTACACCTTTCGATCGGTGAGCAGTGAGATGGCTGTTCGAACGAAGCACTGACATTTCACGGCCATTCGGCAGACCAAATGACATCGCCTTCGTCTACGAGCGCATACACGGCTGAAGAACTGCAGAAGATGATTGCATTAATTAGGGGTATCCGAGGTGAGGATTGAGGTGACCCGCACGTTCGAACCTTGCTAATCGATAATGTCGTCGCAGACATCGGATACAATGAGCACACGGCCGCTGTTGTAGGTGAGTCAAGTTGTACGGGTGTTTACGATATACTCGTAGATGAGGCTGACTTTCGTCATTTACCCCTAGGTCGTTTGATGTATATGTTCGGTGCATTTTATTCCTGCCTCTTCCTAACGCCCTCCTGACATATGTGTGCAGCACACCATAGATTTCTACATTTCCATGGGCAATATGGTGCCCGCCTTTGTCGGGACCAGAGTATCTACGGAGAATCAACGCCCGCGAGAACACTCCTCATTAGAATAATGTCTCCCATCTTCTTTAATGCACCCGATGTGCATTTGCGCGGTCTGGAGAGCCTCTGGATAGACGGCTTGATCAACCAGCTTCCATGGAGTAACTTCATACAAAGGCTCAAAGTCGACTGGCAGGAGTTTGTCCTATACGTGCGCCCATCCCCTTGCGCTCTGGTCTTCTGTATATGACTGATGCTGAGTGCCATACAGGCGACCGTCATGCTTAACGCCAACGTCGCATTTTTGACCATCCCCGATGTGGACCCTGGGCCGGGACAGAGTACTCTGGCCAAGGTCTGCAGCTTCATATCGATCATCACGAGCGTCGGCAGCATCATATTGGGGCTGTTGCTCGTGCGGCACCATCGCGTCAGGCCGAGAGAGACGGCCCAGGAGGTTGTACGTAGACCTGCCTGCTGTATTTGGGCGCCAGTCTAATGACAGTTTCAGGTGGACTATCTGCTGCGGCGGAAGCACCCTACCCTCGGTTTGGAGACGCTCGCAATCCTGTACAGCCTGCCGTATGCCTTACTCATGTGGGCGTAAGTGTGTCGGATCCTGCGTGTTTGCTAATTTTACTGATGCTATTCAGGATGCTCACGTTCCTGCTGGCGTTCGCGTTCGAGTGTTTCATTCATCACGGCCTTTCCGCATACGTGCTTGCAACGTTCTGGGTTGTCATTGGCCTACTGATCCTGTGGTGTATCTACACACTCTGGGACTCGGAAGCAGGCGAGTCTGCTTGGATGTCGCTGGGTCACACCGTAGAGCACCTTCTCTCCAGGGTACAGCAGCGACTGCTTTGCGCGCCGAAATTGTCTTTCGGCATGTTTTCAAGGAGACACCATCCACACGTCGCCGAAGATATCACTCCACGGTCAGCACGCTTCGACATCGAGCCGTGATCTGCTATAGTGTGTTATTTATCATCGCTTTCACGCTTTCAACGTGGACTATGAAATCTTGTCTGTATTATTGATCACAATTCACTTGGTGTATACCCAAGGAACTCCATGTGTAATTTATATGTAGCGATCCTGTCGTCCCCTTTTACTTATGACTACACGATTCCGCCCTTGATCCCTTTACCCGGGCCCACCTTGTTCTTGGGGGTTATTCTCAGACACTTGGTTCCGTGATACCCACACGTAGCGTAGACTTTCTACTCCGTCTGCTGTATATATTATCCATATCTTGATGTTTGGCCGATGCTTCATCCAGTTTCTTTCTCAAGTGCAACCTAGAGACAGTGAAGCACGTGACCGCGCCGTACCGTGACAGGCTTTCCAAATTCTGCTCGATTCCCGTTTCTTCCACGCATCTCTAGCTATGATGTTGGACTCTACAATGTCGGTTTCATTGCGCACAGAACGTGTCGTTGGACATGAACCCTTTGCACTTATCCCAATTATTTACAGAATGGTGAATGTTTCCTTTATTATATCCGTCCATTTACACCGGTGAGTATTGAACGTTGGATCTTTCTCACCGCTTCACATCTTGTGGCTCCTTAAGCATACCAGCGCCGTTCAGGCGCGAATGATTCGGGATGGAACTCAGGAAAAGAACTGTTGCAAGTACTAGTATTCCTAGGACTGGCCTATAACTAGAGGTGGAAAACGTCGAATTTGACCGAAGTCTCATTTAGCTTCCTGTTAAAGGCATGAAGGTTGAGGCCTGAAGAATGGCGTCTGTGACTGCTCCTATGGAACGACTATCCTTTGGCATCTCAGCCTTCTGCCACCGCTTCCACGTTTGTATGGTGGCACGACTATATTCTGTCCGTGCACTCAACCCAAAAAGTCCCTTTATATCGCCTTATGGCCTTGGACAATGTACGCAGCTGCTATCGTCAAGACTCTTGCGGCTACTGTTGCATGCTCCGTCTCTATGGGTCTTTATAAGCAGTCGGGACTTTGGTCTGAAGATTGGTACTGGTTGGCAGACCAAAAGCGGGGGAATAGCGGAAGAGATTCAGATGTGGTACCTCCACCAATAAAACCCTAATTGGAGTTATTGGACAATACACAAAGCATATCAGAGAGTTCTTCCTTCGATGAATGGATGAGGAGGTTCGCAAATATCTTATCTGCGCCGGCCGCCCTCGCACAAAGCGTCTTCCATGTGCTCAATGACATCCCCAACAAGCGTCCTTTATCAGTCAATGCCGACAATCCGCTTTGTCTGTATACCGATACTTCGTATGGTGCTTCAGCATGTTCACAAAGCAATGGCCCGCTTCGCAAAGGGACTGCGGGCAAATTAATTTGCGGTCGCGTTTCTTAGATATCGCGAGTCTCGAGCGACCGTTCTGACTACACTGTTCTGAAGCAGTTCATGGTCGCGCTGGTGCCTCAACACTCTCCAGGACCGTCGAGAAATCACCTTGCTATTGAAAACACCACCGCGGTGTCCAAACGGTGGAATGTATCTGGTAATGGGGGTCCAGCAATACGGCCGGAATATTGTCCTGTGCCATATTGCGTCTTCCAAGCGATCCTTCAACAGAGCTTCCGGGGGCCATTACTGGCACGGGCTGTCTCCTGTGAGTACTTTATTGAGTGCACTTGCGTGATGTGTTGTTACCTCGTGTCATCGGGACTTTTTTACCTCCGCACTAAAGCCATACACGCACCATGCAGAGGAATTTCCATACAACTTACGGTCATCTGACGATGTGCTGAAGCACCTTGGGTTATGGGCGGTTCGGACTAGCACGGCCTTCGGCAGACCAGACGACGCCGCCTGGTCTGCGAGCACATACATGGCTAATGAACTTCCGAGAATGATAGCACTGCTCAAGAATATCCGAAGTGAGTACTGCGGTAGCCTGTGCTTCGGTACTTGCTAACATCTCCGGCCAATGTAGTAGACACCTGATCCAACGAATATGCAACCCGTATTATGGGTGAGTAGTTTGTATTGGGTGCTTATGATTTTCGTCGATCCGGCCGAATTTGTAAAGGCTTAGGTCGTTTAACAGTTTCATTCGGTAAAAATCATACTGCAATTCCGCCAGGACCCACCCACATATGTTTGGAGCATCACAGATTCCTACATCACGGTGCCCGCCCTCCATTACCGGGACCGAAGTATTTACGGAGATTCAACGATTCCAAGGACATCCCTCATCATATTCTCCTATCTCCGACCCCCTTCAAGGCATATGGTATACATCTATATGATTCCGCGATTCCCAGGTGGTCTGATCGATGAACTGCCATGGAGCTACTTCACAGAGAAGCCGGAGGTGGACTGGCGGAAGTTCATCCTATGCGTGCGCACATCGCGGCGCGCCCTGGTCATCTGTACTATGACTGGTGATGATTATAGGCCATGATCACACTTGTGGCTAGATGGTGTTTCTGACCGTCCCAAATATGGGCCTTCCGGGCAGCGGACTCCCCTTCGAGGTCACCAGCTTCATATCGATCATTATGAGCCATGGCAGCACCATAGTGGGGCTCACCCGCTGTGATCGTGTTAAGCAGACAGAGACCTCCCAGGATGTCGTATGTAGATCCACTTGCTGTACTCGGGCGCTACTATTTGTTGAAATGGAGCCATCCTAATGCCTCGAGACGCGCCTTTTTATGAATAGTCTGCAGTGCGGTCCGCGCTAAGTGCTATGCCAATTATTTTCGTCTTCGATAATATTTACTGACTTCTGTCATGCAGTCACTCTTGGTTGTACTTCTCATCCTGTGGTGCATTTACACGTTGTGGGATACGGATTAAGGAGAGTAACCACAGTCTATGCTGTGGAGCGCTTCGAAGCGTCTGTTTAATGGTGCTGAGCGAAAAGTGGTTCCCTTGTGCTGCTTACTGCCCACATTGTTTTTCAGAATGTACTGTCCTTTGACAGTTCACAATTTGAGGGGTTCACTCCGTGGCCACATCCTCACTGCTCTCCTGGGCCAATTGGTATTGTGGTCTGTGCGTTAGACAGGCTTTCGCACGTCTTAGAAGTTTGATCTGTATCGCAGCGAGACGTCTCCGTAGTCATACACATTTGCTTACCGTCTTCGGAATCATCAATACTCGGAAGAAACGTCAAACTGCACGGGCAAGCCACGTAGAGATAGGTGAGTAGTCCTCGTGTATTCCTAAGTGTAGGTAAGTATTGTACATACAGATTGCCCGCCATCCATTGATCTACATTGACTAAATCATTTCTTAACAGGTTTCCCAGCTGTTCCGTGGGTGACCTTCCCGCGAGGCCTGAAGCCGAACGAGGCATGCTCATCTGCATCATCACTAGCGCACTGTGAAGAGTGCATTCTCTGCGAGTAGGATACAAACCTACCTGGGCAGTGGGACGGTCTTCACGCTGTAGATTAGTCATTAGGCAAGAGCGGAGATAGACGTATGCATATGCTGTGTGGACTGCACACCTGGGAGAAGGTTTAGGGCTTGGGGCTGGAGAAACCTCGAGGAGCTGGGGCTTGGGGGAGCTGAGGCCGTCATCCTTGGGGCCCTGCCCGCTCTGGTCTGCGGGCTTGTTCGGGCTGGAAAGTGTCATACATACTGCTGACAGCGTAGACCGGGTGAGCCACCCACCCGTCGTCGAGTTTGACGGCTTGCATCTTGTCGGGTTCCGGCGTAGTCATGGTTCAGAGTAAGACCTGCGGTCTGAAGGTGGAACCGATAGGTGTATCTATAACGCCCGGCGGCAAGCGTCCAGAACGAATCCCCGAGAACACTGCCAGATGGAGCGCGCAAAGTTGGCACCGGCGGCTATCGATGATTTCGCATTTTGCATTTTGGTATATTCAACATCAAATGGTGCGCCCACAAAGCACCTCTCCTAGGGCGGTTGATTTATCCTGTGGTAGCATCGCAACATGATGGCGGTGGCAGAAAAGAATCTGACCGCAGTGCCACAGATGTGGGCTGCCCGGGTTGTAAGCCGTACATAAGCAAAGGCGGCTCCACCCGGTTGTTAAAGCGTCTGCCTCTACAGCTGAGCTCCGGCCATAATGCACAATGTCACAAAGGTCAGGAGATTTCAGAACTCCAAAAGCTATGCGAATATTTTCTAGGAACCGATACACCTGTCACGAGGGTTGAAATTAATTGCTGCTCACGCCGCCATGATCCCACGTTCAAGCGTGCGGCGGTGCAACGTGTCGACATACCTACCGCTTCAAATTCAGCCACCCGAGGTATAAAATGGGCGCGGCTTGAGCTGCTCTATCATCACCCCAGCTTCCCATCCTCGGTCTTCAACAGCATCTCTAAACTTCAGCTTCGATGGAATCGGCGAAAGTTGCGTTCACGCAGACGGCTACTAAAGAATGTTCCCAATCGCTCCGACCCACTACGTCCTCACGGACGAGTAGATATTCTTCGTCGAAACGGTAAGTTTCTTCAACTGATTTCTGAGCGCTCATGAACTGACGCCCTGGGACCTCCAGCGTAACGCCCGGCCACAAGGCTATCGCACCCGGTCTACAGAGTTATGCCGCTAAGCCAGAGTAAGCATGCTTTCTTGTCTCACTTGAGTGTTTTGGCTGACCGCCGCCACACCAGACCGGCTTACTTACCAGCGGGATGGTCGGTCCACACGCATCCCGAAGGACAGGTCTATTTCTCCTACGAGTCAGAGATCAGCGTCGTCACCGAAGCGGACCTCTACTCTCACGAGGTACAAGAGAAGATAGCTCACTGGGTGGCCGTGGTCAACAGTGTTCTTGTCGAACGGAAGACCCACGTCCCCAGGACGGCTGAGCTTTTCCTGGAACTGGACAGCACCGGCGACTCTTGCTTCTATTACCTGGTCGACCATACTGCCCGCGTTGAGTTTTGGTTGCAGGAGATCACCACAGATCTCCAGGTTCTACTGGATCTCCCTGAATCAGTGTCGGACTCCCATATGAGTGAGTCGATCCGATCGAGCGAGGTCTTCTGGTCTGACGGAACCTACCTGTAGGACTCGCGCTGGAGGAGTTATATTGGACCCATGTTGAATATTTTCCCTCCCATCATTCGAAGCCCTTGGATCTGTCTGCCGACCAATTGGCCGGTGTCTTTATACATGCACGAACGGGTGAGTATCTTCCTTTGTCGATCGTCAACAGCACCACTCACCTTCTCTACTGCAGATCAAATGACATCGGATTTCTCGACGTTTCCTTATGACGCAGGTCAATGCACATGTTTCCTGGATTCCATACGCTCTGCACAAGGTATGTTGCTGGCTCTATAGCGTTGCCACAGCAGCTCACCTTTCCGCATAGCTTGTATCCTTAGTCCACATTCTGTCTGTGTTATTGGTGAGCCTTCTCGTCCATAGCGTTGTCGACGACGTATTCTCAACGGTTACCATCTACTCAGCCCGGCTTTGGGTTGTTGTCGGTGAGCTTCACATTAACCTTACGACCGGGCCACACTCTGACATATGCTTGTCTCTAGCTCATCATAGATTCATCACACACTTCGGCCAAAAGACTGCACGGTTGTCTCGCGACCAATCGATACTCGATACCCCACCAACCCGGCGAGGTTGGCTATTTGCGCTCTGTTCCCGCATCCTCTTCAGTATTCCGGCTGCATACGCGGAACAACTTGACCTTCTGTATCTCGACAACTTGGTGTATGTGAGCCAGTGGCGAGATGCTATGGCCGCATATCGCGCCGAGTGGAAGCTGTTCGTGTCATGGGTCAGTACTCAGTTACCGGTGCATTGGATATCGCACTAATCATCATCTGCTCTTACAGGCGCTGGCCTTGATGATGTGAGCTAAACTGTCGCAGCCCACTGAGAACCTTGTCTGACATACTTTCGCAGGATCAACACAGTGTCCCTGGTTTCACCGTACGGTTCTTGCGTTATCGCCTGTGTGTCTATCGCGCTGTGTTACATCGCAATACTGTGTGCCGTCTTCCTTCTCGTGCGGCTACATGGTGCCGCGATGTACATAGCTTCGGACGCGGTGAGTGCCGGTAATGCCCCTCCCTTCTCTTACACCAACTAACGTACCCAACCAATAGGCGACGTATCTCGATGACACCCGCAGGGAACGCATTGGCTTCCAGGCCATCGCGCTCATTTACAGCATGCCGAAGGCCCTCTTTTTGTGGGCGCTCGGTGTCTCGTCGCTACAAGGCCTGGTATGGGTCAAGGATGCCACTGGTATCTACGTCGCGCTCGCTGTCGTGGGCTTCCTTGGCGTGTGCGCATTGCTTGCTCGGACTGTTCCCCTACTGCGACAGCTGTGGGAGGGCTTCTCGAGAATTCTTCCGTGCCGTGGACGTGCTTCGGGCACGGAGCGGTGCGAAGTGTAGAGCGGCGAGCCTGAGTGCTGTACTCATTAGTATGTATGTATCTGTAGATACGACACAAGGAAGTTAATACAAGAAGCTTATCAAGTTGCAGAGTCTTTCGCGAGGCATTGACGGAGCACAGCAGGAGCAGATTCTAGTTGGGTGTGGCTTGACCGGCTTTATATCTAGGCTCACCGAGGCTAAGTATAGCAGCAGCTGGGGTTGATAGGCGCTCTAGTGGTTTCAAGGCAATCGGGACGGCCCCCCCCCCCTTCTAACTTTGTGTTCGGGTGAAACGAAGAAGAGCTGCGGGCGCTAACATGGATAACGAGCGCTTGCGCTCGAGCCGCATTGCCCTGCAGTACATTTATGTCTGAAGAACCTGGGTGCCGCAAACCGTACGCACGAAGACATTTAGCGCATCCACATATGTAGCTGTGTTTCAGCGCCGGCCCCCTGTGAACAACACCGGGCGGAGCGCTGATCTGTGTGGTCAATGTCAGTGAATGGAAGTAGTACGTTCTAGCACCATCCTGCTAAACTTGACTTGGAATTCAGGTCTCAGCGCTGGCGCCATGCCCGGGGGATGATGCGGCGGCGGCACCGGATTGGCCTAAGATTAGCTAGTGCCAGCAACATATAATGGCCGTGGTGAATGTGACTATTGTGTGTTCAGTCGATTCCAGGTCTCTCCACCCACTGTAGGCAGATATCTGCACCATGCCGGTCCCCGTTCGCCCACCTGCTCGCAAGGCGCTCTCTGTTGCCGCGCAATACTCGCGGTTGAAGCAAATCGATGAGATGTACGAGCTTGAGGGGACCCATAACGACCCTCCTCGGATTCGTGAACTTCTCCTCGGTGCGTAATATCCAGTTTGTAGTCTGAATCATCATTAATTATGATTGACTAGATGTATATGGGTACCGAGACGAGGATATCACCATTCTCATGGATGATGAGAGCGGGCGATATGCATGGCCTACCCGCGACAACATCGTGAGCCCCTTCAACTCACTGTTTACAGCCGCTGTGAAGCTAATCGCGATGCTCTGTACAGATGAAAGCCATGCACGAGCTTGTCGCCGATGCTATCCCCGGGGACCATTTCGTGTTCCATTGTGCGTACGACTCGTGCGACTCATTCATAGACTGACCTCACCCTTATCGGTCCAGTCTCTGGTCACGGAAATCAGGTCCCGAACACAGACGGTACAGAAGTCGATGGCTTGGATGAAGGTGAATATGTAATTCTCGGCTACTTCCCCAGCTAACTGATTCTGCGCTTCAGTGATCTGGCCTGTGGATGTCGTGGTCCATAGCGATGATTCATTTGATAACTACATTATTGACGACGTGAGCATAGACACTCGTAATATGCCCATAAATAGTGATCGTAGAGCAGGATATCCATGACATCTTAGTCAACCACTTGCCTCCGGAGACCCATTTCGTGGTATGTGGATGCTGCTCTCTCTTGTACTCGAAAATAGCTCACAGAACGCTCGTAGATGATATTCGATTGCTGCCACTCCGGGACTGCTGCAGGTACTGCCGTTTCGGTTTAAATTCTGAGGAAGAAGTTGAATATTATTCATCGACAGACCTTCCTTACGCAAACGATGACTTCTGTCCTCAGACGCCGATCTCTCCATCAGCGCAAACGACTGTCAAGAGTGGTATGTTCAGCCACACTGCTGCAATGTTTTATCAGCTCATGGATAATTTATCAATAGTCCACGTGCGCAAGGGGTCGGAGTGTATGTATCTGGCGAGCACTTCCTGGAAAGAGTGCTGCAAGTTGACGTACTTGTTTCAGCAATGGTGCACACGCACACCGTCGACCACGACTTGGACGACGGATTGGCTGCGGAGACTCCGGTGTCGTCACCGACCGATAAGCTCTCTAGCAACAGGCTGATCTCAGCTTACGACAAACGTCCTGATGTGGTGTGTTTCCTAATGTGAGCGGCTGTAAGCCAACATATTGAGCTATCTTTAGACATCTTGGTCTGCCTGTACGGACGATGAGGTGACGCTCGAGGCAGGAACTGGTGGCTTATTCGTTCAGGTGTGTGCAAACGTACAATAGGAGGACCTATTGCTGATGAGGCAATACAACAGGCATTCACAAATGCTCTTCGTGAGTATTGGTTTGAATCATCGTCGGCCGGGTAGCACTAACTCCATCTGCTAGGCAACAAACCGAAGCAATCTAACGTGGAGCTGCTGAGATCTGTGACGTATGTTGCGTTTAGATTTCGATGTTGGGTGAACTTAATTTGATTGTACTCAGCCGCGAACTCGCTCGTATCACTGCCATTGCCAACAAGAGAAGGCCGCCTGAGTATCCCGATGAGTTCGTTATAAAGCCTCAGGTTAGTCCCTTAGCGACACAGTGAGAATTGAGTGACTGACTGTTGGTCTGGATGTCAGTTGTGTGGCCTTCATGAGCTGGTAGGTATTGCCTCCGGCATCGAGCTCGTGCAAATGCTAAAAATCTTCTGGCAGGAGGAAGTCTTTCCCAGCTTTGTCTCGTTCTGATCTCGTCTGTCACTTTCTGCATGCCTCTGTACTTCGTCTTGACTATGAATGCGCGCGACTGTATGCTACCCTCGGGCCTCCTATTGACTTGTATCTATAGTGCATTCTTACTCGCTTACTGCGCCTACGTCGTCGTGCCCGCTGAATGATCATTTGTTGACGCGTTATTTACGCGTTTCGGACTTCGAATCTGGATAACACGTCGCTTGCACACTCTTCTCCACTCTCTTTCGTACGACCATGTCCCCGCCCCCAAGCCCCAAGCCCTCGTCCCAGCCCTCCGCCAGTGGCCCAAGCGGTACCGAGAGGCGTCCCCTCACAGAGGTTATCTCGGAGACGTTCCCCGCGTTCAATCATCGCTCTGCAGTCGTCGAGCCTTTCGACGCAGAGTCCAAGAGAGATGCCGAGTTTCTCGAAAGTGGGTCGGCGCCGAGGTCACATCCCACTCACATGAACTGCATTGGTTCTGACCCACATGTACTATACGCGGTTCTGTGGCCGCCCAGAGTTGAACATGATGCTCCTGGAACTGATGCTCGACTTCCACGCTTGGTCGACCGCACGCCCCACGCACGAGAGCGACCGCACCGCCGATGAACTCGAGCGGGAGATCAATGGTGTCATGGAGGTGGAGAAAGAACAAGGCACGTCTCTCATCGGTACGCTCGGTTCCCCGCCGATCGCGCTTCTTCTCTGTTTCCTTGCCCCTACCCGGCAATTTTCTTCGCGTGCCCTCGAAAATTGACTGACATTGTTTATGAAGAGAAAACACGCCAGCGGCTTAACGAGTTCGTTACACGCATCAAGCTGGCTTTGGCGGCGCTGACTGGTTTGGCTCCGTGATATGTCTGGATGCTTTGCTGTTCGTGTTCTGGACTAGTTGATGCTGTCTTGTGACCTTGAGCTGTGCTGAACTGTTTTTTCTCGAAATTGTATCGCTCGTATTCAATATGTATATGTGGAATCGCTGGGGCTGTCACAGGACGCATAGCCCCTTTTTTCCACTGGAAATAACGGGGAAAAACTTGTGGAAATCAAAAAAGTGTTTCCACGGGAAATGCGGTGGGAAATGTCGGGGAAAAGAACAAAACATTTACCGCTTTGTTCCCGTGGAAAAATGATGAGGTAAAAAGGGGCGTGGAAATACTTAGTGCATTTTTCTCGTTTTAGTCGTGGGAAAAAAGGGGGAAAATCTTTGTGTATTTCTCCCTTTTGTTTCTGGGAAATAAGCGAAGAAAAGTTTTAAAATCTTCCAATGAAAATAACTCCCAGGGAAAAACATGTAGGAAATTATTTAAGGATTTCCCTGGAAAAAACAGTTGTCCTGTCATGTCCTGTCATGTCCTGTCATGTCCGGTTGTCATGTCACGTCCTGTCCTTCTGTCCCGTCACGTCCTGTCCTTCTGTCCCGTCACGTCCTGTCCCTTTGTCCTGCCCGCGTCATGTCTGCCGTGTCCCGTCACGTCCTGTCCTCCTATCGTCTGTCTTGTCATGTCATGTGTACCCTACCCATAAAATATATTGCCTAAATAGAATCTATTTAGAATCTGCAATAACCTTCTAACCCTGGCATAATGAATTTTCTTTTTTCAAAATACATTATACCTATATTTCACACAGTAGCTATTTTGCAAAATGCCTCTGCTGTGGATGGAGGGAAGACCGCGTCGCCCGTAATGGCTAATAACAACCGTGTCGTTCTAGTTCTAGCCTGAAACTACTCGCGTTCATGGGAAATCGAGACTGTGGATAAATGATTGGGCGGCGTCGAGTGAGAGTGGATCTGCACCCCGGGATGCAGCGCAAGCATCGCTCGTGATCATTCAATAGCAAATGCCATCGAAATATCACAGCACGCCCTGGGATACTCAAGGTAGAGTGCCTGCCCGGGCTAGCCCAGCTCGGCACGCCGCCGCTTACCGCCCGCGCTCACCTCGCACCCAAGGAAGGGCACAAGCCTCGAGTCTGTGGTCGACAGCCTAAAACAAGTCTCTTCCAAGGAGCAGCTCTTCTCATGCGATAAGACATGGAAGTTCACGCTGGCCACCAACACGAAGGGTATGAGCACATGGAGGATGAGGGCTTAGGTAGAAAATTGAAGTTTGGCACCTTTGATGAGGCCAGGGGTGTCGTCATTGATTGATTCAGAGACAGGACGAAGAGGACATGTTGAGGTGATCCTCGGTGTCGTGTCGTAACGCGTGTATCATAGCGCATGTTGAATAAGTCATAAAGATAGGGGAAAGGCATAGGAAAGAAAAGAGAAAAGTGGGGGGCGTCAGCTTCTTCTACCAGGGGCGCAACCCGATTCTGTTCCCCTGGTGCACGCGTGTCGTTAGGTGTTGGAGTGTGTAGAGGGGGAACGATACTTCGCCGTGTAGCTAGTACCGTGAGGGAGCTTCGTAGTGGCTCGCCTATGTGTCGTCGCCCTCATCGTTGTCGGCAGGGTCGTCTTCGCGGTGTCGCCGGTGTCCCCGCATGTTGTCGGAGTTGTTGTCCTGTATGTGTTCCTCCTCATCCTCCCATCTGGCGAGCTTCGCCTCTGCTCACTTCTTGCCTGTCTTCGTCAAGGCCCTACTCTCCTTTAGGAAGTGTCCGAGCGCATCGATCCCGGCTGGCGTGCCGAGGATGGTAGGGATGTCGATGGTTTTGCTTGCCTCGCGTAGTATATGTCGGGAGCTGTCGTATCTCGGGCAAGCTGGTAGTATATGCTTGCGTGACTGAAATAGTACACCACATGGGCAGTCAACCGGTTCAGACGGTACAAAATGCTAGTAATACTCGCCAAGGAAAGCATGTCCTGTGCGGCATTGCACAAGTCTTCCAAGAAAAAACCCCTCGAGAGTTCAATAAACGGCTTGCGTGCGTGAGTCTGCGGGGGTAAACGGTCCACGCTTGCGAAAGGACCAGTCGGTGCGTTTCCACTTGGCGGTCCATTTTTCGAAGGCCTTTTCGTTTGCGCGGCGAAGGGCGTGAGCGTGTGTGACCTTAGTTGGGCCCCCAGGGATCTCAGTCGCCTGTTTGGTGAGTTTGCCAGTAAGTTCATTACCTATGATGCCCTTGTGGCCGGGGGTCCATGCGATGTCTACTGTGTTCTCTGGGTTAGCATTGAGGAATGCTGTGTCGAAATGGTACAGCATACTCAATGGCTCTATCTCACCCAATGGAAAACTGCCATTCCTCGATCTTGCCAGAGCAGTTTTGGACCGGGGGAAAGCTTCGTTACATGTAGAGAACGTGTGTGAGCCAAACGTATCTCAGTTGCGTGGGAGATGAAGTGAATAACGCAACGGATAGAGAGCAAACACGCTCGCCAAACAGAGCGACGTTCCGAGTACACGTCCCGAGTACAAACTTCCCGGTAGATCGGACAGAGCATGGGTAAGTAAACAAAGAATGATGGGATCGCGACACGTCTCAAGAACGCGGGCAGTCAGTACTGTGATCCATCCAATCAATTTCAATAAGAAAAGAAAAGGATGCAGGCGGACCTGGAAGGTGCACGGGTCGCTCTTACAGTCATCACACTTGACGGTGTCACCCCTGAGTTTGATAAAGTCACCGATCGTGGGAGTGTGAGGGGACATTTGAGCAAGAGGTGTTCGATATCGCGTTTGGGATCAAAGAACTCGAAGTGGACGTCACGAGGCTCTATTGAGGCTGCTGCTTGAAGGACGATTAGGGCGAGTAGCAAGAGGGTATGCACGATTGCTGGCCTCGTCGCTCGATAAGTCGGCGTTGCAAGCTGATCAAAGCTTAAAACACGCTGAATTGGGCTTAAAAGTCAGTCATTGCAAACGGGCGATGCTCATTTTCACAACCCACTAGATTCGAGCGCCCACTGGCCGTACTTCATTTGACGACCTCGGGCAGGATCGGCACCTCGCAGGATCGGCACCTCGGTCGTCTTTGGATATGATTACAACGCTCCGCGAACCCATGCGGGTGCCGTGGTCAGCGATGACGTGCGCCATCGATTGGGCACGTTCTACAGGCGTACCAAGGGTGCTTGGATGTTCCAAGGCGGACATTTTGATTCTTCCTGGGGCGACAGGAGCTGTGGGGTGGGAGTCAGATTGCCATTCCAGAATTCGAGATCTGCAACGGAACAAAGCTCGCGCTCGATGATAGAAAATAGATACCCACATACTGAGCGCCTCTGCAATCCCAAAAACCAGCCCGCTCACGACATGCGACAATGCAGTGGAATTCGTTCGTATTCCCGCTCGACACTGGCGAAGGCGCAGAGCGTCGCCGGGGATGATGACGCGCAAGGCAAACCCAGCGCTTCTACAACAATTAATATTTCGGGCGACTCGCCAGAAGAGTACCGATAGAGCATAAGAAAATCTACAGCCGCCTTCTCGGCTGTGACAATTTATAAACATGGGCAGAGCGACCGCGCACCTATGGAAGAGTGTATGGTTTTTTCTGGCGTTTCTCAGCCAACCTGTGCCTTTAGCGATGGTATCAAATCCGAGACCCGAGCTCGCGTAACGCGGAGCAAAAGCACCTAAACGAGAACGGCGCCATTGGCGAAGCAGTGAAAGCAAACAGAAGACGAGGAGGAGGTACGCGCGCGGTCGCCCAGCCAAACATCGCAAGTGCCAAGAATGCACTCCCTGGAACGGCAACTGCCGGCCGCGATTCGCGTGGAGTGAGTGATCGGATCTGGTAATCTAGATACAGTAGGGTTAATCTACAAAGGTACAAGTAATCCGTCGGTGAAAGGATTATAATTATGAAGATCTACGCAGTCTATTTGTTCTCAATCGCGCGCGCGCATGATTATCTTCATTTCACGAAGTTTTCTACAAATGCACCCCTCTGCTTCACTTCTTTCTTATGAACGTTTCGACCCTCCAATGGTAAAGCTGGGACAGGTCTCCCCTCAATCTAAAAACGCGTTAGCTAGCACCGGCGAGCTCTGGAGAAAACTCACATTCGCAGATGATCCGGGCGTAGTTGCGAAGAGTGCGGCTGCACTATGTCAGAAACCCGAAGCCCTTCTGGACACTGAGAAACATTACCTTGTGCCAGGTAAAAGCGCGCCCGGGAATCGTGCTAGGCGGACTGAATTTATGAACGGAGCCCTTTGTGGCTTTTACCTTAAAGCTCATACTCTGAAAGGCCTGCGCGATCATTAGGCTGAATGCAACACAAAATGCACTCAAAAGCAACATACTTCCACCAGTTCACGCCATCCGACGGATCCTTGCGCTTGGAATATACTCCTGACAGTCTGCAAGATGAATTCAGAGCACACCGAGTCAATAGACCTTCAACTTACTTTATAATGTCGGCCGCGAAGGGCGATCGTCCCATTCATGGTCGATATATCCGCAGACGAGAGAGAAGAAACTAGAACGAAGAATCGAGCAGCAGGTGAAAGGGGACAGGCAGAGGATAGGGAACAACTGGCGCTGGACGCCTGGTGAGCGTAGACGGCGAGAGTCAAAGTCGGGGGAGCGAGAAGTCCCAGATCAGCGATCTGCGGTACACTTACACAGGGACAACTTTCCCAGTGTCACATAGCAGAGGGAGCCTTCGTGGTACGTTCGACCAAGTGAACTCACTAGATTATTTTTGCCCATCGACCAGTTAATACCGAGGCTCCGCATCATATAGCCATTAACATTATGTCATTCCTACAGGGATGTAAAAGAGCCTGTCACGTTTTGGTCAGATCTCTGTAAGTTCCTATTGAAGGTTTAAAAACTCGCCGTGTAAGGCTGCGTAGCTTTGGAGATAATACACTAGGGCGGTAAACACAAGGTACATTATTCCCGGCGCGAGGGCTGATTGTAGTTCCTCGACCTATCATTCAGACAGGCGAGACCACTGGTCGGTATATCAGGAGTCTGCGCTCTTCAGAACTGTTGTTGACTATGGTAACAGCAGCCACAATTCCTGGCTGGTAAGTGTTCCGCCATGGCAGCCGCCAGCGTGGTCTGGTCCCTAAGACCAAGCTGGGACTTGACGTGGCGTTTGATTGATTCTCTGAAGAGCTTCTCTTCCTCCTTCGTCGCAGGCTGAACAGTAGGATCGTGGCCACGCTGTGATTGCGAGGCGTGGGCGTACCGCCACAGGAATTCGCAGATAGGCTGCGCATCATGATGCAGGTCGACCGATTCTGAGACGATCATTCCAGCACGGTCCCAGCGGATAAGCCGGGCGCGTGATCCAGACAGTGCAACAGAGAAGTAGAAGCTGCGATGCTGACGAGCGCACGCAACGTTCATCCCCAGCCCTCGTTCGGCCCGATTTCGAGTTCGTTCATCGTAGATATTCAGAATGAAATCATGAGCAGAGCGATCATCGCCTTGAGCTGGATCTGTGAAGGCGTCCAGACCAGGATGCTGCTGGACGTCAATATACAGGTCGGCGCAAGAAATAGAGCTCGCGACTGTCGATTTCGGGTTCATCGAGCCAATATCTTCTTCGGAGAGGCAGGAAACATGGGGATTCATTGAACCTATCTCTCCGCGATTCACATCGAACGAGGTTGTGTCTATGAAGACAAATCCAGGACATCTTGGCCGCGACTTCGTGGCGCCTCTTCCAACACCATTGAGGGCAATAATCTGTACAAATTTAATATTTGTGATAGACAGAAAAATCTAAATACCGCACTAATGGTTCAATAATCTGCTGCCTGTGCTCAGCTTCTGCCGGCAGATCTTTGAATGCTTGCACAGCAGGGGGCATCGCGGACATATCAGGCTTCGGCAGGAATTCCAGAAACTCGTCAACAGGCATTACACCAATTATATAAAGGATTGGGAACAGTTTGCGAATTCACGATATCGCAGCTCACCTCGGTGACAGTACTAATGTTCTATGCCTCATCCATTCTGCACGGGTCGGACGTCCTCCCGCAGGAGAGCAGTGTGTCGTCGTTCACTCAGTGTTCTCGACGAACGCCTCGCGCGCAGCCTCGAGGAAACGTACCTCGCACCGCTTACGTGCAGCGCTGACGACGTTGGCGAGCCCTCACCCTCGCCACATGCCATCGCACATCTCCGCTTAATTGCGACCACGCCGTCCTTGTGCAGGTTCTTGATCTGGCCCGCGAAGCAAGCAGATCCATCGGACAGCTTGTGCTTGTACACTGCCTGGTGGCGACGCTAGCTACTTTCCCAGAGACTCCTACTGCGGGCAGTCGCTTTCATATAGTCGCTGGCGTGGGCGCATACCCGGCAAACCCACTGCACGACATGGGCACAATACAGTCAGTAGTGACCCGTGGCAAGGTGTTGCTCTATCAGCGAGGCGCCATACCTGGTATTGCTCGGTCAGTGATGCGACGTACCCCAAGAAACACGACGTATGTCGACGTACTGATAACGACAGACGACGGCAGCACTAGCAGCACTAGCAGCACTAGCTCAAGACGGCGTCGGACAGCAAGCTTGGGCAAACCTTGGTGAGTTCGCGCGCGAGCAATACAAACGAGGATTAGTACTGTACAGGATCTCATTAAGGATGGGATCAATGACAAACCTAAAGCTCTGCCCACATACAGTCAACTATGGAGGCCCATCACTGCCTGCCGCTGTCGTTCTGACAGTACGCGCACTGAAATTTGAGGGATGCCCTGACGGAACAGCATCGAGTTGCCAATCGTAAGGGGCCGAGACCTGGAGAACCTCTCTCGCAGCCAGACATGAGAACTCTGCCAAACCCTTTGTTGCGTCTCATGCGCCCACTCGTAGAGTTTACACACGCACAGCAACTCGGACATCTGAACAAAAGTCGTGGGGCGACAATCAGGCGGTGGGACTCAGAGTAAAGCCCTTACATCGTGCGGATATCCGAGCTTCACTATGGCTTTCATCCATACGCAACATACGCTAAAAAGACCTCTTGGCGAGGCCTGCCTCCTGTGAGAGGTGGCAACTCTACCAACTCCAGATAACCACGACGAATAGACAATCCGACGTGCTCCGCCTGCCAAGACGTTGGACGCGAGCGTACGGTCTAGCTGCGCGTCCGACTCGGTGTCATGGTATGCATACAGCCCTCCGGCAAGCTGTATGCACGCATCGAATGACGAAGAGAGAAATGCGAAGACCATCTCACCCACCTTCCGACTCACTTTCTGGAGGGCTGTCTAGCACAGAGGGATATGTCGAATTCCAAATGCTCATCGTTGCCAAATATGCACAACAGTCCAGCTCCTGCCAGAGAGGAGACGGCTGTGATACGGGGCTCACAGACATGCCGAGATCTACCCACGCACGAAGACCAGTAGTACGTCTTCCCCCCGTCGTCTCCGGCAGACGCTTTGACCCCCGACGCAACTCCAGCGTCGACCCCGCCCTCGACGTCTCCCGCCAAGCGGCAGTGTCGTGGGGGCAATACGACGGCGGGAGGCGAAATTGACGCGGGAGAGTACCGTGGCGGCGGGAGGTCATTGATCATCGGTGTAACAGTTTGCAGGAGGAAAAAAGGAACTCGCGAGAGAAAAATCAAACTTGGAAACTCGATGATGCGGAAAGCGGCATTCATTTTCAGTTTCTGCGCCCTAGAGAACCAGTATCCGGCTAGGCTTGTCGCCCTCACGGCTGAAAAGACAGACAACGAAAACAGCCCACCCAACCGACGATTGCTTTACCTGCACCGACGTGTCAACTCGAGGATGACATGTCTAAGCACACGCCTGGCAACGCCGCAGTCTCAGGGACCATAGCTACGCAGCTACGCACTGCTTTACCTGTGCCGACGTATGGCCCAGGTGGTCCACACGCCTCAGCACACGCCTGGCAGTCGTGCTGTCGTCGTAGGTCGCAGGAGGTCGGACACTTTCGGACACGGTTGGACAAGGTCGGACATGGCCCGACACTGCAGTGGGCACGTGCAGATCATGGCGGTCACGCGATCAGACGCGATCGCGTGCTGCGCGTTCACATCATGTGACCTCGCACAGGTGTTCGACGTTACTGCGTATATTGAACTGTGTGGTGCGTAAGCATATCATCGGGTAGTATGACAGAGCGTCGAGAGTCCCAAGGTGAGAACTGGTCGAGTAAACTATTTAAGACGACGAAATAGAATCGAGTTCGGTACAAAGTCGTCGGGTGAGGCCGACGGATGAAGTATTGGGGAGCCCACAGACATGGCGGCAAGCATGGGCGATCACGACGGATGCCCCGACCGGGCACGCATGAAGGCCCTCATTCAGCACATCCCACATGCCTATATTACAGCTCCGTTATGCTGTGTGTGAGCTCGAACATGCACCCTCGCTTCTTCAAGCCTCCCATACCTATAGGCGACCCTCGAAATCGCTTCCACCTCTCAGGAGGAAGTAGCTTGTCCCACGAAATCCATGCGATGATTTTTAATGGTGTGAACGGCCGATGGTGGCTCCCTTTTGGGGTGTGCTCCCCGTGTCTCAGGCGTTGACGCTGCGAAGCAGGGCGAACGACAGCGCCTGCCGCATATGGGCGCGCACGTGGAGGCGCGACGCGTCAATAAAACGCGTCAACAAAGGCAACGCGTCAACAAAATGCGCCAACTGAAGGGACGCGTCAACAGCGCAAAACAAGCCCTTTGGGCGCCCGAGCTTGCTTTAAATTCACCTGCCTTCGCCTGCCTCCTCCCAACGCTCCCACTTTTTTCCCACCGCTGCGATTCTCTGCGCTGGTCTTAGAGTGTTCTTGGAGTGCTCTTGTCGCTCGGTACGCGCCTCTCCTCTCAGGAAAAGCGCTATCCAGTGGGTTCGAAGGAGACCCATATCGCCCGCTGGGTGGCGCTTTTCCTACCTCTCATGCCTACGGAGTCCTCGCGGACGGCAGGCAGCACGAGCTCGAAGGAGACCTCTATCGCTCGCGCTGCCTGTCGCCTGCTGTCTCGCAGCTGTCGGCCCTTGCCTCTCGCTTGATTAGTATGCGGGGCTTATACCTTGTTGTGCAGGCTCTTGTATGGGCGCTGCAACTTTCACGGTGAGCCTGCTGGCTCCTCGGCTTTTCCTCCCCACCGACACTGTTGTGAAGCCCGGTTTGGGCTATCGTGGGAAAGCGTCCATGGGAGAGCGATTGGAGGCGGTCTGGAGGGTGGAAGAGGGCAGGGCTGAAGACCCGGGCCGCGCCAAACCTGTAGGTGCTTTGCAGGGCCCCCACAGGTGAGCCGCCTTCGCTTTTCCATTTCAACGCGGCTTTGCCAACCTTGGTTGTAGCCCGAGCGACAGCTCGAAGGTGAAATCCCTTCCGCGGGATATATCCAACACGACCCCAGCCCTGCGCGACCACGCAGATGCAGAAGCCGCCCTCGATGCCTCTGCCGGAGGTGTGGGCCCGCGCCACACTGCTCGCCGTCGAAACTATGTTGAGAGAGGGTGGTGGCTCGCGGGGTCAGCCGTGCCAACAAGAAGAAAGAAAGTGCCACACACGTGCAGAGCACAACCTCCCTGGCTCATCGGAAAATGCCCGGAGGTTACATCGGCAGCCGTGTCAAACCAGAGCCCCCGCTCCGGCGAGAAATCATCGGGCGTGCTAAGGGGTAAGTGGCCATCCCAGCGCATTTTAGCACGCGATGCAGTGCTCGGGACGATGCCGTCGGAGTCGCTACATCCCCTTTGCTGTGATCAACGCCAGACACGGATACCCTGAGGCACAGGGGTTGAAGCGGAGTGTCTACTCTGCCCGGGCAGACTGATCAACCCTGGCGCGACGTATTGTGCAGAGCATGTCTACGAATGATCGTGTGTGGTGCGACGCTCAAGCGCGCGTCGCTGCAGGACGGCGCGGCGATCAATGTCAACGGCATGAACGCATCTGTGCCTACCCGGCTGTGGTAAGGAAGCATTGGTCACCGCCTCCGCATTCAAAGTTCTTGGGGCGTCTCTCCGCCAGCATGATGTCGATGTCTCTGATGATCGTGGGCGGTAGGCGCGATCCTGATGATCGTGTTCTTGCGCACGGCGGGCATCATAGGCCGCACGCACGAGAATAGCGGCCAAAGACAAAGCAGGCAAACCGCCCCTTACCCAATGCCGCACCATTGATCTTGTCTGCGGGACTTTATTGATCCCTTTGTACGCCTTCATCGCCTGTGACGATCTCTCCAGTACGTGCACCGTCTTGAATTCAAGCCGAATGCCAGGTATTGGCCCATGGATCAAAGCAATAACGAGGGCTCGCACGAGCGCAGGGTACTCAGTTAAAAAGATCCTCACTGTAGCGACCATTGTAAGCAAGCCATACAAATGGCCGACAAAGCAGTTCAGATAGAGCAAACAGTTGTAGGCTATACGGATGTAATTTAGCATGAGTTGCATCTAGAGGCCATCTTACTGCTTCTATCTCCTCTTCTTCGCAGCCTTTGCCCCTCTGTACGCCGGTACAGGAACCGGGCGCCGCTTAGCAGGAATGAGTGACGTCGCCTCCGCAGGAGGTGGAGGGGCTTCGAACGCAGTGTATTCAGGGCCTGTCTGAAAGAGAAATTGAAGCTCCAGCCAGCACAGGCCAAAGAGGGGCGGCAGGACACACCTGCAATTCCGACTCACTGAACTCGGCGTCATAATGGTTCCACATAGAGCGCAAGTCCTTGTACGGCTCCCAGTCATCTTGATGATGCCCTGCGTCCAGTCCCCACTGGTAGTATCCTGCTCTGCCTGCTGCTTGTGATACCTCAAACATTCGTCCTTCAAGAAGCTCCAGTGCCTCTTGATCAACATCTTTGGCTTCGTGTGGACCATGGGCCATTGCTACTTGGTATGCCCATGCTTGTGACAGAATGAAAGCAGTCTGATCAGCAGCAGATCCAATGCTGCGAAATTCCGGAACCTGGGTGAAGTGGTCGCGCTTTCGGGAAGCTATCACCAGCGTGATTGCATGTGCAAGAGGGAAAAAACCAATCCACAGATGCTTCTGTTTTCGGGCACCAGGGACCTTGAGATAGAACCAGTTGTTAATTCGAGCTTGTTCTACGATGTCAAGATCCCCCGTATGCGGTACCATGCCAGAACGCACAGCGGGATGCTGTCGAAATCTGGAGTCCACTTCCGACGTCTTAGTCGGCTTGCCCAGAGATTTGTTGCCGGGTGATTGAACGCTCTTTGCGCCATCGGAGCCAGCATCTGAACGGAGGTACTGCAGCACAGGGACACTAGTGGAATCAACTTCTTCAGGACTGTTGAGAAGCGCAGAAAGAACGTGGATGTGCGGAGTCAATATCCGGTCAATTTCCTCCGTGAATGGGTACGAATCAGGCTCTGCAAGAACGTCTTCTTCTGTAGGAATCTGTGATGCATGCCTCCACTTTCCAAGCTGCATACGTACCGGCATTGGTACTATAGTCAGTGTCATATCATCTCCGGTCTCTTATTGATCACTCACCCTGATCTTGCGCCGCCTTTCTCGGTCATCCCACAGGTCATCCACTAGCTCTGCCTCCGGAACATATCTATGGCGATCCGGTGATGGCTGTGCAAACACACAGTGTCGCCACCAAACCAGCCTCCAAGTTCTCCCAGCTGTCGAGGAACCCTCCGGCTGAATTAAGCGCACGGGATACCAGTATTCACCATGGCGAGCAAGTGCACCTTTGCCCGCTCTGTTTGTGTCCGCAAGTTCATCAGTAACAGAGTTAGTATCGAGGCAGGTACACGGACTTTAGCCGTTGAGCAGGCGGCGGAGGCTGTGGCCGGTCCTTTGCTCGTCGTGTTTGGGCTGTACGCCTGTGGGCACGTGTCAAAATTCCATCAGCATGTTACTTATGACCATGCTGTTAGACATACGCTGGTTTAGAAGGCTGTCTGAGATGCGGGAAGCAATCTTCCAAAGTGCACGAATCACACTCAAAGCACTGCCCTCCCTTCAAATCACTGGCACGCCCATCTCGTTGGCATGCAATATGTGACCATTGGTCGCAGATATCACACTGTACTGTCTTCTGGCCATCTGCTAGCAAATTACCATCTCCTACGGCTCCACATCGACAATGAAAGGGGTATACTGAGACTGGCCTCTCTGTCGAACTATGTGGCGTCAGTGATGAGCGCGTTCCTGGGGCAATATCTGGAACCACAGCGGCATGTACAGAGATGAGATTATGGTCAGCAACAGTTTTAGATACTACGCACTGTCCGGGGTGTCGTTGTTAATTGCCGCAAGCGAAGCTTGATATTCCGTCGGCACTGGAGTGTGCACTGGCACCGCGTTGGGCGCGTCAGCATCTGCTATAAAAGGTGTTCTACGACGCTTGTGTGACTTGTGGGTGATATTGCTACCCTCATGAGTTACTGGTTTGAGAATGTGGGTCGCTCTTATTGTGCAGCCCAATAATGAAATTTATTGCTAACACACCGTTGCTATTGTTATCGGCCTCATAGTCAATGGCATGGGGTCCCCGGAGACAACAGCAGTCTTCATCCGCAATGAGATGTACACCAGGCTGCTGCAACGTTGGAGTTACAATTTGACCAGGAAACTCGCCTGTAACTTCAGCATGATGTACGGGGAAATCGCCATGACTCAGAGAATTATGCGAAGAGTGAATGGATCCTCTCCAATCTGGAATAGTTGGGGTTGGTGAGATAGCTGCAGGGGGGGACTGACCCTCCGCATCATCTCTATAGAGGAAGTTGTAACCCATGGCTGTACAAATACTCAGCTGCTCCAATTTACCCCAAATATACACCATCTTCTCACCAGTATGCCCGTCGCCCAGTTCCTTCAGGACTTGAACACCGTTATCCAGTCCATGCCAGGACGGAAACTTCGTCAGTGCACAGGCCCCAAGCTGGCTACCTGAAGGTTTCTTCGAAGATCGTGCAGAAGACAAACGAGAAAGGTAAGATGCACCTTCATGCTGAGCTTGAGAAGAGCGGTCAGTTGGAACAACTTGATGAAGAAGCTCGCCGAGTCCTTCCCATGACGGAAAAACACCCCTTGAAGGGAAGATGAAGCCGTCCCAGTCGGATGCATTCCCTGCCGGTGAGAGTGCGTCTTTACCATTGTTTGTCTCGGCGTTCTTCGAATTGAGATCGCTATCGCTCCTCAATGGCCTAGTTTCCATTTTCACGAGGCTATCAGGCGGAAAGCTCGTTAGACATACGCCGAAGATGACAGAGAACCAGATGCACCCTTGCAAATTTGCAGGCTGACCGGAATTGCTGGCTGTAGGAGAATCGAGAGTAGAACTCTGGGCTTGAGGCCCACGTGTTTCATCATATGAACAAGTCTGGTGGGAAGGCAGCGTCGTCAGTATACCCCTGCTGAAAATTTTGCGAAAGCGTTACACTATCAAAGGAAACTGTAGCCTGCTGCGTGCGTGGCTCGGATGAGGGTTGATCAAACTCCTTTCCAGGCGTACGCGCACTGCCCCGTAGATCAGGGCCTGCGCCTTTTCTCCTATGAGTTTTTCTAAAGAACACGCGAGTCGACTCGTGTGGGGGGGAAAACAGCCCTCGGCGTAAACTAGACCAAGTCGAGACCCGACCGGATGAGAAGGTATCAATAACGTCGAATACAATTAATGACGTTGCTTTGTCTTTCTCGTCTTGTACATGTGGCTCTGTGTTAGTTGACGACGCAGGCTCCTCCGAAGGGATGAACGACGCCTCTCTATTCACAGCACCAATGGCTAATTCGCCAGAAGATATAAGCGACTTCTCTTCATCCACCTCCATTTTAGAGGCTGTACCGGCACATCTGAGGCTCTCCAGTTAGCTTGACTTCTGCAAACGGAGACGACTGTGTCCAGTGTCAGGCTGGACATACCTCTCTTCTTCGTGTAGAGCACGGTGATGGAATGTTGCTGAATTGGGGATGTCCGTCCGACTGAACCAATAGCCAGGTAGGGGTGGAGTTTCCGAGTACAGAATAAAGGAGGGCATAAAGTGAGGGTGCTGGAACGAGAACGATCTGCCCTCAAATTTCGGCGGTGCCCTCATCGCGACGTCATCGACAATGGCGCTGTTGACTTCCGTGAAGGTACTGGAGCTGTTGAGCGCGTTCTCCAATAGCTGGTATCTATGCCATCTGTAAGCACAAATTGGTAGACGATATAGGATGGAGAACATACTCAGCTATTCCAGTAGTCATCAGCGTCGACTCCAAGTTACAGCGTGAATTTCCAGAGTCATCAGGGGGAAGTACCGGAAGCTTTCGCGAGGCACATTTGAAGCCAGACTTTTTCTGCGGTCTTCTAAGATACGCTTAGTGATATCGTACTTCGTAGTTGGCAGCTTGCATGCCCACCTATCGAGAGATGAAGCGTCGACTTTATGCCTCTTACTGGAGATCTCCGTTGGCAGAGAATGTGAGCGCTTTCTCGGAAGCTTGACCCCAGCTCTGTACAGAGGACTGGTAAGTACTAAGGCCTTTGAGCAGAAAAGAATACGCGGGAACGCACGCCAGAATACGTCCTTCTAATAGTGAATAGTTCTGCGGGTTTCCCAGAGGTTCTGCGGAATGTAGACGCTTTCGACCGCCATGCACAATCCCGTCGGTGGGTTGAGGATAATGGCCGGAACGGCAGTATCTACTCCTGGGCACCGATGTAATCAAACAACATGCTCGCCTAACGAGTTCACCACCTACCTCGTAGTAATGGTACCATGTACATTTTTTTGCCATGGTGGATTGATTACGCCAGGAAACGTGTGTGCTCTTTGGAGACCACCAGCAACTCTATGGCCTCCCTTCTGAGCTGAAGACTCAGCTATTGGATCGCACATAGATCCTGCGGCGTGCCCCTCCATCCAAACGAGTCAAGCTTGAAGGGCGTAGCACTTTAGGAACCGGTGATAATGGATGCAGGGGAAAGAAACGTACATTTCTACACAAAGACGCGAAGAGACAAAGCGCCACCACTGCATGAAGGAATCTCCACGTTGTGGCCTCGAGGAGGCGTGGTGCTAAACACGATTAGGAGGGGCGGATCAGGCAGGAACGCACACACCTGGCCGCAGGGGTACGAGGTGCAAGTCAGACACATGCAAGAAGGCTTAAATTAAGGCTTCGGTCGGTCTATGCTCTGCGAGTGAGTCTAAGCGTCCGCAAGCCTGTCTGTGAGTACGTTTCGATGGGCGGGTACACGATTTCGAGAAATGTCGCTCATACTGTATGCATATAGCAAGCCTTGTGCAGATTTTTATTACCGATAATACTTAAGGCCCTCACTATGAGGGCGGCCGGGCGCGAACTCCTCTGCTGTGGGAATACCCTAGCAAAGGGGAGGCAGGCGAGAACGACGCTGACCGAGCAATGATTAATGAATACAAATACTTTCTACGTACCCTGCAGTGCTATTAGTAGGACTTCGAATAATTTACCAGCAATCGGGTTTACTGAGACACGCGGCTGGTGTCACGCGCTTTACAGAGACCTGTGACGCCTCAGTGCCCCAGATTTGTACCCGTCTAAGGTGCTCAGATTTTCGCGCATTTCACTACTAGTGAATCGTACAGGCAACGCGTGAACGAAGGCAGTGAGCCTTACAGGTAGACGGACGAGAGGATGTCAGGAGACGATGCCGTGTGAGTACGGCACGACCTACGTACCGGCGGTGCATCGTCGCTATAGTGCTGTTCGAAGCACACATGGTTCACAACCACCCACTCGCGCAGTGAAGGACAATGGCTTGACGTCGGCCTCTCACTGAGCGCATTTCTCTCGGTGAACGTCGTTCAACAACAGGCAATCTTCCGGCCTCTGACCAGTACTCAGTCCGCATTATCGTGCACGACAGTGAGGAAAACGCACATGTTCTCAGGAGTCGAGCGCCACTCGAACGACTGCAGAGTCGGTACAATATTAGCCGACTGTACACTTACGCGCGATCTCGACAAACCACGGCCTAACCGAGGGGTTAGCATTCGTGCACGAACACCAAACCCTGTTCGTCGCCGCTGATTCTGTCCTTGTTAGATATCTCATGAGTGTCGAGGAAAAATTCTACTTTCTCGACACCCATGAGATTGCATTGAATTTCGCAGGATCGGCTCAGATCTCCGCGTTCGTCACGCCCCCTATGATGGCTGGAGGTCATTGATCATTAGCGTAACAGCTCGCAGCAGGAGGAAAGGTACTTGCGAGAGAAAAATCAAACGTGCAAGGTACGTCGCCTTCACGGCTGAAAAGACAGACAACGAAAACAGCCCACCCAACCGACGATTGCTTTACCTGCGCCGACGTGTCAACTCGAGGATGACATGTCTAAGCACACGCCTGGCAACGCCGCAGTCTCAGGGACCATAGCTACGCAGCTACGCACTGCTTTACCTGCGCCGACGTATGGCCCAGGTGGTCCACACGCCTCAGCACACGCCTGGCAGTCGTGCTGTCGTCGTAGGTCACAGGAGGTCGGACACTTTCGGACACGGTTGGACAAGGTCGGACACGGCCCGACACTGCAGTGGGCACGTGCAGATCATGGCGGTCACGCGATCGTGTAGCTTGAAGCTTTGAAGCTTTGAAGACTTGAGCACGGCCCACCATGGGAGGCGGCTTCGCGCGCTTACTGTAAGTCGTCGAGTCCCCTTGCCTCCCTGGTTTTGGTGCGAGCTAATTCGTATCGCCACTAATCATCGCAGAAGTGCACAACCGCCGCACCTAGTGCCAATCCTCCGTTCCGATGCCGCGTCCAGGGCGCAACACTCGCAAGCACATCGCTCTCTCAAGGTAACGAGTTTATCTCATTCTTGTGGCGTGTTCCTATCCCTCGCTAAGCTAGATACTAACTGCCCATTTCTTTTTTTCCCTGTAGACAGATAGAACCCCCGCCTTCTAGTCACTCTGGACGCGCGTGTGCTCGTCGTGATTCCTCACCTCCGTAAGTTGTTCAGATGGGCTTCCTTTCCTATGCCTGAGGAAAACACGTCGTTCACAGTTTGTGCTATGTACTGCACTATCGCTCAGGTCCATTTTTCAAACACTGCCTGCGCTCGGAAAGTTCTAGCTACAGATATGGTCCGCGTGAGGCAATCCTAGGTACGCCCATGGCACGAGGGCGCACTTAGAGGATTGTGGAAGGGCAGACGCTGGATGACTGGCGAGGGCGCTCTGAGGACATCCTGTGTCATACTTAGGAGGGGTCAACAAATATTCGTTCCCTATGTACGCGACCGCCTACTTCACCCTCTAACGAATCTCTCCTCGTTCCAGCCATACAAAGACGGGAGCTTTTCTTGTAGTTCAAAAGCATGTGAGCTAGTCGCGAAGAACACGAAAGGTTACTTACATCCGCAACTCGTCGGGGCGAAACTCGGCACCGTGCGGCTATAAACATGTGAAAAACCCGAGTACTCGTGAACGTCGAAAGAAAACTTACCCTGTGCACGATCAGAACCTTGCGCGACATGTGTTTGGGAAGGGTTAAACGATACTTTGAGCCACGATTGCCGCGAACACGAAATCCAAGCTGTTTCGTCTGTGTGAAAACGTCTAGACGTATTCTAAGACATGCTTGTCATCAGCGAAATCGTTCCACTTGACACGCTGCCACAGAGTGGGATCCCGGCTCAAAACATTTGAGATCGTCTGCATGGTGTTCAGCATGTGGCCCATCACATTCTGCAATTTATACTCACTTCAAAACAGCCTCTGTTCACGACGATGCGCGGATCCATTCAAAAAAAAAAAGCAAGGGAAGGTGCGCCTAGCAGAAGACGGAGAAGAGGATAGGACACTGTGGGCCCGCCACGTGTGTCGACCTCGGAGAATGCATCAGTTTCGCCCCGCCCGGGCGAGTAAGTAGTTGATACAGTAACAAAGCCAGGTAACCGTCGGTGGGACGCTACTCAACAGACTGAGCCCGAGCCTTTCGCTCTGTTGCTCTCATCGGTACAATAATCCAGCCTGAGGCGCAATATCACAAGGGACGTATCCCTGCGTTCGTGAAGACAGCACGGGGGAGCGAGAACCTGCCGTTGATTTGTCAGATATTTCTGAGCAAACGCACTGCGGACGAAACACTTGCCATGTGTAAGACGTTGCACCGTCGTGGTTACTGTGGAGATTATGTGGGAGGGGTCAGACATTGTGTGTAGACAACAACTGGGGATCTCAGGATCTTCGATGGTGAGAGATTATGGCGCACCTCTCAAAATTCACTGTCCATTGCAACGGCGCGTCGTGCAGACATCTGCATCTCGCGCAGAGATGCTGTCCAGATTTGACCGTAAGAGAGGCACAATTACACATTAAAGGAGGAGAGGGTTCACCCGTTGAAGGAAGAGAACAGTTCTGCGTTCGCGTTTTGATTGCCTCCAGGATACTTCCATGAACATCTCCATCTATAAGTAACGTTAGGTGGTCATCGTATAATCCAGAATGTAAGTACCTCCATCTCCTGCATGTCGACGACGCGATTCTCTTACGGAAACAACCCCCCAGATTATGCTATTCTGTTGACTACAACTTTGAAAGTCCCGAGCTGCAGAGATCCTGATCTCGCCTGACCTCTCGTTAGCCGAGTCGATTCAAGGTGATGACGTGCTGCAATAATAGATGTGACGGATGCGGTGGTAGCAAAATACTATACGACGAAATCATTAGAAACTGGAAACCCAGGGAACCCCAGGCGATGGCTCGTGAGCAACAACTCTGAGTGACATTTTCGCAATAGAGTAATTGTCCCATATGGCATAACAAGCTTGAATACAGAGTCCAAGGTCGAACGTTACTTTACCCAAACTTTACCTGAGCCAACATGTCGACTGGAGGGTGACTTGTCTAAGCAAATGCCTGGCAACGCCGCTGCCTCTGGGACCACGCATTGCATTACCTGTGCCGACAAATGGCCCAGCTGGGCCACATGTCTCAGCACACACCTGGCAGTCGTGTCGACTGTCGTCCCACAAGACCGACACCAAGGTCGGATCACGTCGCGACGGCGTGGCTGACGTCAGCGCTTGCTTTTTTAACCGTTAAGTATGAAGTTGTATTAATTATGAGTGTGTGACTGCACCACTCACGCTCGCGTCGGACGGACAAAGATACTGTTTTCTTCTCTCTAATATTGGGAGGATCATTTACTGGGTGTTTGGCCGTTTCCTCCTGTAACTGTCTATCGCTGAATGGCATCTTGGACTCTAGTCATT